CATATTTGATGCATCATCTTTCTATTTTTTGAAGAAAAGACATCCAAAGGGAATGAAATGAGAGAGATGTTTGGTTAATGGTTAAAGTTATGTCGAAGAGGAAAAACAAGCCAAAGAGAGTTTTTCGATGATAAAAAAAACAAAACTCATTCCATGAATCAATATGGTTGTCTCTATAAGAATAATTCGCTGATATCTCTCCCTCTCTTTTCGGTAGAGGTGATGTATGTTAGAGAGAACCGACTAAAGCTTCTGGTCCTTACAAAGAGGAGGGCATTATAGAGAGTAGAATAAAATGATGTGATTGTCATTATCATCACTTGGTGTTTGATAGTGAAATCTTCTTTCATGACCATATTTTGATTTTTTTTGTGGGTTTGGTTGGTTTCAAAGGAAAATGAGCCAACGATGAAATATCGTTACTAAAACATTGGCCCCTTTGTTCCTTATGGGTTTGGCAGGCGACAACGATTTAAGATCAACCTCAAGTCACTTTTCATTCTGTGTGCTATGATTATGTCTTGTATACAACGAAGACCGTCTTTTCAAATAACATTGTTCTCTATATGTTGCACGTAGAGATGTTGTCATGGACTAACCGGACCGGTCCAGATTATTGTGATTGGCTTTGGCCAAAGATATTTGACTAACCACAACATCTATATGTGGATGAAAACATTCATGTAATGGCTAGATATCAAGATCATAACAAATAACAGCTTGATGGAAATAGGTTTTTACTAAGCTTAAGATCAAAACGCCCATAAGGAAGTATACAGATACATAACCGGTCTCTCAGTACAGAAACCAAACAAGTTGAAACATGTGAAAATAATAAATATATGATTGGTTTAGTGAACAAAAGCTCCAAAATGCTCTTTCTTTTAACCCTTCCATAGCTTCAAGACTCTATCTTTACCACCAGAGACAACTTTCTCACCATCTGGACTCCAATCCACCGCAAAAACCTATCGACAACCGAAAAAAACAAACAAAGGGTTGCAAAATCAAGAGGAAACTAGAATTGAGGTGAAAATATAAGCTTTAAAAGGTGTTAGTACCTCATCTGCATGACCAGGAAGATCTTGTTTTAACGATTTCGTCCTTATCTCCCAAATCTGTGTCAAAGTAACAAACTTTCTGATTCAGAATCTGAGGAGTATCTCCAGTAAAGAGTAGAAATGGCGTTTCATCGAGTCCCGTTTGATTATATCAAAGAAAGTTTAATTTTTGTTTACCTTGAGAGTAGAGTCTTTGCTGCCACTCAAAAGCAATCTACTGTCTGCGGACCAACAGACTTGATACACAGGTCCAACATGTCCCCTGAAAGCTGTGACAAACTGTCCTGTGACACCGTTCCATAGCCTAACTGATCTATCGAACGAAGCACTTGCAATCCATTTCCCATCAGGTGAGAAATACACATGATTTACAAGCTGTTGATTGAGGTAAATGATTAGAAACGGAAACTAAAAGACTAGGTGAGAAGAGTGAAACTGTAATAAAGTAACTTTACCTGTTGATGACCGGTCAAGCGCTTTTTATCTTTCTTGCTAACAGATGGCTCCCACAAGAACATAGTGAAATCGTCAGAACCTGAGACTAATCGTTCAGGGGAATCCCCTTTTGCTTGGTTGTATCTTTCGAGCGCCTATAAACAGTAAATTATACAGAGAGAGAGAGAGATCAGAATTAGTGTAAAAGAGAATAACTGATCTTAAGTGTGGAGTGTAGTGAGAAGAGGCTTTACCCTTTTCTGTTCTTCATTTTGGGGATATTGTCTTCCAGTGTGGTCAAAAGCTCCTGTTCGAAGTACATACTCTGTGCTCAATGCAAGGGAGTTTACCCAATGCCCATGCCCCTGAAGTAACAGAAGAAGCAAAGTAAAAATTGAGGTGGTTAAAAGTAAGAATAGGTGAATCTTAACGACCTACAGGCTACAGGTCAAAAGATGCAGAACATGAGAAAATGTCAAAATATACCTTCAATTCACGAATGAGCTTCCCCTGAGTAGTCTCCCACATCTTTATCGTACAATCTTGGGAACTACAAAAACACAAGACAAATAGTTAATTAGAATGCAAGAGAAGAGTATAGAATTATGTACATAAGAAGTGATCATGACGCTTAAACATGTAGGCAAGTTTATTTCATTAGTTGGTTATCTGATCTAAGATTCACCAATTACCAAAACACTTGAAGCATCTAAGCTATTAGCTACAAAACCTATGAAAGAGGAAAGGAAACATTTGACATACCCTGTATATATAATCCCATCTCCGCCCCATTTGACACAAGTCACAGCAAGAGTGTGTCCACTGAGAACAATCATAGTTTTCTTCAGTGTAACATCCCATATCCTTGCATCCCCATCTTTGCTAGAAGTTACAAATCGACGGCATGGAGAGCTTAGGTGGACTGGTTCCCACGAGATACCAGTAATCCATTTCTTGTGACCCTGAAGAAAAAGGTAAAGATTGACGGTAATCAATAACAAACCAAAACAAATGTACATTTTACCAATATCAAGTGAAAAAAAAGACTTTACTGTAAGTGGATTTCCGTCAAGTTCTCCTTTCTTTGTATTCCAACAGCAGAGTTCACCAGATTTACTACCACTCACAAGATGCTTCCCATCCGGAGACCAAGCCATTGAGAGAACCCAATTCTTGTGCCCTGAAAAAAGATTAGTGGCACAATCATCAGAATGATAATGGAGGAGGGAAGCAAAGCTAAAGAAGGATGGAGAGGGAAAAGTTCGAACCTTTGCAAGTAAACAATGGAGTTTCAGTGTTGAGATCCCAAAGCCTGACAGTAGTATCACCTGAGCCACTTGCTAACTGCTTACCATCAGGACTAAACGAGACACAAAGAACAGCTTCCGCATGACCTTATGATTTTCAAACCAACAACAAAGCCAAGTAAGCAATTTGACACACTGATAACTTCTTGACAAGAAACAAGAAGAGCAAGAACTATGTTATATAACATACCAGCAATTGTTTGTGAGCAACGGTTAACAGGACGGATTCGGAACACAGCTTGTTGTTGATAAACTATCGTCAAAACCTTCTCCACAGACACTGAAAACACACACATTTTTTTAGAGTTTTGTTTTCTTTCATAGAGCCATAGCCAAACTGATTCTTATTGAGTGTTTTTTAACCTTTGTTTTTCTCCAAGTAAGTTCCTACAGGTATAAGAAGCTCTTCGTCTGATACATAGAAACTGTAAGGTAACATCTCCTCCTGAATCAAATTAACCAACCAATACCCAAAAATTCAAATTTCAGTGCTTAATTTCGCAATCAGGACAAGCAAAAAAGCCACCTTTCAGAGAGTAAGTAAACACTAAAAACAGAGTCGTCAAGTTCCTGCAAAATCCTAAACTTCCCAGAAACTAAAAATCACTTCTTTTAACGAATTGAGGCTCGGAAAAATGTGAAGAGAAGAGAGAAAAACTGTTACGTTGTTGAGGAACTTGTTGACGAGCTGAGTAAGCTGCAAAGGACCAGCATTTTGAGGAATATACATAGCAGAACCTAAATTGGTTCCTTCTGGGTCTGTTAACAGACACATGACTGTCTTCCCCATTCCTGCCTCGTCCGTTTCCATGTTCATCACGACGACGACGACGACGAGGAGGAGGAGCTGAGGAACAAAAAAAATCCCGACTTTGTGTTGCCGTTCGAGAGGAAGACAATTAGGTTTATTTTTGTTTTAACCGACCTCGAGCTTTTTAGGGTTGGCCCAAAAAAATCCAAACCATTTCACAAAAACAATGAACAATCGTAAAAGAGTTATGTAAAATCGCCGACTATAGGGATCGAACCCACGGCCACGGGATTAAAAGTCACGCGCTCTACCACTGAGCTAAGTCGGCTTTGACGATACTGTTTATGATATATTAAATAAATATACGTTGTCGAGTCATCGGTCATAAATTTGGACATACACAGGGTCCAATTTTTTATGTGAAAATTATGTTACAATTTAAGATATTTTTGAAAAGCTTAGGATCCTGTTTGCAAAATTATATTATTCATTCTTGCAAAATCAAAAGTCTTACATTAGATCTTTAAAACTAATGGGTCAGGCCAAAGATTACGAAGATTTACATTATGTTTTTTTTTTGGCTCAACATTCAACTTTTTTTTTTTTTTTGACGTCCATTCAACTTTTATTAACTTCAAAATTATTACAATCAATTGTCCGCATTGACATAAGCTTTTACCCATTCTGGCATTAGAGAGTACACCTTAGGAGCATTAGTCTCATTCGACAAAGCCTCCTTTGCTACTCTATCCGCCACACTATTACATTCCCTAGGTTGAAACACAAAAGCTACTTCTTCAAACTGTGATTTCAGGTGTATGATGTATGATTTCAAACATTATGTTAAACCTATATATCCTCTTTTCAATGGTATGAGAGTCAAATAACGTGGCCGCAAAGGAAATTCTCTCATTCTTCTTCTTGGCTCACCTACAAAAAGGGCGAAGAGTCTGGTTTAGGTTACTCTCAGATCTCTGATTGCTTTAAAATCTCGTTCTCTGCAATTCGTCTCTGCCCACTCTAGTGCTGTTGTACTTGAGTGTATAGGGGACATCCCTGCGGCTGAGGTAAAACCTCCTAACAATGTGCTGTTTGTCTGCAAATTGAATCCCCTGACTCAGGATGAGGACCTCCACGCCCTTTTTGCACGCTACGCAACTGTCAAATCGGGTAAGGTGATCATGAATCGCAAGACGGGTAAGAGCTTGTGCTATGCTTTCGTAGAGTTTGAGACCAAGAAGGGATGCGAAACAGCGTACCATCGGATGAAGAAGGGTGTTTCCATCGATGACAGAGAAATACATGTCGATTTCAGTCAAAGTGTATCCAATCTTTGGTCACGGTTCCAAAATGTGTAACCATTTGGCAAAACCATAGCAATATGTTGAATTTTATTAGAAGTTTCAATGTAACGTATTCGCAAACACAAAAAAAATATTTCACTATTTAAGAGCGGCTCAGATAAGTCTCATGAACTAGTTGTGCAGTTAAGAGATCCACAGTACCCGAACCAACAGACTTAAAGACGGTTATTTCCGTTGAGCTCCTTCTTCCTTCTCTGTCTCCATTGATCAACTCAACCAGATTCCCACAAACATCTTCTCTCTTTATCACTCCTCTCTCGAACGCTCCCACGAGCTCTCCCGCTTCTTCCATCGCTGCGTCGTTATCCACAAACACACTCCCTCTCTGTATCGCTTCGTCGTCACATTCCTTCATTTCGTGGCTAAACGATCCAACAAGGTCAAGATGGGTTCCAGGTTTCAAGAACTCACCTTTGACCAGTGGAATAGTTGAGTTAGTTGCACAGCTTATGATATCTCCCAGAGGAATGATCTCATCTAACGAACCGTGGCTCTCGAACGAGACCTCGCTGTGTTGAGAGTCCTTTGAGAGAGTTTCAGCTAAAGATTGAGCCTTTTGAGGAGTTCTGTTCCATATGATCACTCTTCTCAAGCTTGGCTTCGCAGCTAGATGGGATTTGATCAGGTGTGGCGCGAGAGCACCGGAGCCAACCATGATCAGCACCTGGCTATCATCCCTGGCTAGGATTTTGGAGCCTAGGCCTGAAACAGAGGAAGTACGGTAAAGGGTTAAAACGGTACCGTCCATGGAGGATAGGGTTTGGCCTGTGGTGGAGCTGAAGAGTGTGTAGGATCCATGGATGCCCGGTAAGTTCTGGGAGGAGTTATTAGGGAAATAGGTGACGAGCTTGACACCCATGTAAGGGAGAGAAGGAGAAGATGACCAAGAAGGCATGAGGAGGAGAGAGGAAGGTGGTGAAACGGTGTAGTTTTGGCGGAGAGGGCTTGTGATTGTTGACGAATGTGTGGGAAGATTGGTCTGAAAGTGATTGATCAAGGCTTCATGTGAGAGGATCGACGGAAACGATTGGGCCGGTATGAAAACTGGTAATGCAGCCATTGAATATTTTTAGAGATAATCAAGGTTTTGGAGGATACAATGGTATAAGGAGAAAAAAAGTGAAGAAGGCGAACCAGATTCGTCTTGACTCTGGAGTCTTTAGACTTTGTTTGGTGGAGTTAACAAAAATGTCTAAATCAAAGGGCATTTTGGGGAAGGACGTAAATATGAGATTTGTTTAAGCGACTCTTCTGCAGCTAACCACCAGTCATCATCTTCCTCGTAATTCACCTGTGTGCCAACAAAAAAAAAAAGCATATTTTTTTAAGCTGTAAAGTCAATGAACACGACATTAACATCCATTGTTTAGACTTTTCCATCGAGAGAAAATGGTGAAGTAAACTAACAATGGTATGAGGTTCCAGTGTCTTCTTGTGTTTGCTTTCAAGATCATCTGCCACTTTAAACGCTTCAAGCCACCATGAGCCTCTGCTAGAAACACTATCTGGATCACATTCGTTACCAATGTTACATTCTCCTTGGGGATAAAGGTTGTCACATAAATTATGTGCCTCTCCTTGATGGTAAACAATATCTTCAGGTGGTAGGTAACTCTCTGGGACCGGACGTATCGGAGACCGATAATCTGCAGACAAAGTGGTGTTCTTTAACCAAAGATTCTGCTTTCAGATTGTTTTTTACCAAGAGAACAATATACACACCTCGGCAGTCTGGATCGTAGCATTTCTGATAATAGATTCCCCTTCTGACGTCAACAATGTACATTACTGTAACAACAAAGTTTGTTTAAACCAATGTTAATATGTTCTTTGATAGCTGAGAATAAAGAGAAATGTTTGAAACTCATAAGAGAATAAAAGGATTGAAAGAAGATGGAATACCATGATTGCTTTTATGTTCCCTGCCAATTCGTTCGCAGTATCTATTGCTTGACATGCTGTACACAATCAGGCTATCTTCTGAAAACCAGTACCAGCATCTTATTTTACCTAAATTTTACCACCAAATTTGTTAAGAAAATGAGCATTGCGATCTCTCCAGGAACACAAGATGTTTCAAAAAGATAAAAGTGAAACCTGAGACATTCCCGGTGGAGGCAATGGATTCTATGAACTGGTCTAGCTGCGGGAACGGGGACTTGCCCGCGTAGTACGATGTTGACATGTCACTTGTGCAAGAGTCCACTTGGATTCTCTGAGATTTCTGGTGTCTTAAAATACTATTATTGTTCACCTGCCATCTCCAAAGAGTTCAGTTTAATGGCATAAACATTTGTGAAATCTTCCCTCAAGTATATGTGGAAGGAAGATAAAGTTGGAAGCTAAAAGCACGAGTGCGAGGCAAAACTGATGACAATTACCTCTGTGTCAAAGCAAAGTGTCTTCATACAGTCTGATTCCATCTTGCAAACCAGAAGCTTCTCACAATCTGATGCCACGTTGCAGATTATGGATGTCATGAATACATCCTCTTCACCCTGTTTGTATACCAATGGTCTTATTAGATACTATAAAGTATAAACTGTTCCAATGCAAAACAAGAAAGAGGTGAGGAACAGCGCAGAGAGAGAGAGAGAGAGTTGACTGAAGGTGGACTTACCATATCCTTACATTTGAATCGACCTGTAGGTAGAAGAACAGCCGTCTTTCCAGCTTTTGATGATAGTGCAAGACGGAAGCAACGGTTTCTAGAGTAAACAGCAGTATCCACAAAAAGTAGGGATGCCGAATCATTAGCCTCTTTGTGAACAAACAACTTGCGCAACCTTTCATCTTTTTCCTTGGCACTTACTATCCGTGAGCATAGCTGAAAAGAGATCAAGACGAAAATGAGACCTCTCCAACTTGAATCTTAGGAAACCATCTTTCCAGGCAATAAAAATGAATAAATCGATTTAAGAATACCTCTCCTACAAAAGCACCAACGTGTAAGTTGTCTTTAAAGGCAACCTTTGGAATGATGACAATTAAGTGACGAGAGAACTTATCTGCATGTGAGGTTTTAAGGAAATCTTCAGTCAAAAGAACCTAAGGAAGAACAGTTTGACAATAACTGGCATTTTCAACCTTCTTTATACATAAAAAAGTTTCTAAGGTATTCTTTTCTACAATGTTCATAGCAATATCTCAGAGAATAAAGCTAAAGCAAAAAGGACCTTTGGTTGAGGAATCGAGCTCTACTATCCAGTCCTCTTGTCCTTCAATAGCATATTTTCCATGCAAGGCTTCTAGAATGGCGGATATAAAGATATCAACCATTTCGTCCACATTTTTTCCTTCATTTATTTTCTGATTGAACTCCAAATCAAAGTACATATGGCATGGCAATCCCTGAGAAGCCGTGCAGTGAATCAAAAGCCAGACATATTGTAATTGTTACAAAACTGGAAGATCTACTCTTGTGAGAGTTATGCAGAATACACTGAAATAAGGGAATGAGATATAAAATACCTCTTGAATCACTTCATAGTGGTGCCGGTGCCTTGAATCCATAGATTTGTATCTAAAGTAGAAGAATAAAATAAACAAAACACATCAGAGACTTGGTCCTGGCTTTGCAACACTTAAAAGGAATGTTATAACAAGGTAAAGAAAAGGAACCTCTTCCAGAATTCTTCATATGTTGAAACAAGAAACCTTCTTTGGCCACTGAAATGATCTTGATAACTAAAAACCCGCACATTTTCATGCCTTTTTTCAAACTTAATCGCTTCATCTTGCCGAGGAAATGTAGCCCAAACTCCTTTCCTAAGCAAAGAGAAGATAAACTAAAGATAAAAAAAAAAAAAAAAAAAGAGCTTCCAAGTAGAATTAAAAGCCAGCACCAGCTTATTCATATAATACCTGGAGATTGCTTTCCTTTCTTCACTAAGATCGATACGTATCTCACGCAATAGCCTTAATAAACTTAATGGTCTCTTTGGAGGAACGCCATTTGGAGAACCATAGAAGACAACTGGTGAAAACTGCCTCCCAATAGTCTTTTTTACACTCTTGGAACCAGACTGAGAGATATGACATAAGAAGAAGACGACTCAGAATTCACTCTACAAACAATTTTAAACGCACAATGAACATGAAACAAGTAAAAATGGGTTCATGAGTACATACAACAGAGTCTAGACTGAGACGACTTCCATCAATCTGATTTCTTTTCCCCTTTCCAGATAAAGAACTTGGCTGCAAGTTCTTACGGGTCCCGGGAGAAGAAGTGTTCTCTGGATTCAACATTTTCTTGCTCCGTTTCCTTTCTCTCACAGCAGAAGCTGAAAAATTCGACAGATACATAGCATCATTTTACCATTGGACTCTTATATTATGTTGCTATACTACGAAGATCTCAAATTTCCAGTAACAGCTCGCTGTAGAAGAGATAAGATTCAAGTGGCAATTTCAGTGACCAGGCTTTCAATTCAACTTCGAGCAATCACAGAACATGATTCCGTTTATGGGAGAGAGAGAGAGAGGAAAGTAGCTCACCAGGAGGAGAAATCCCACACTTGAAACACTGAAACAATCGATCTACGTCGTCCATGGCGTTCGCGCTCAGCTTCTTCGGCATTTTTTTCTCCTCTCTCCTTGTCCTCCTCTTCCCTTCTCACAGTTTTACAGCTCTTAGCGGGATTTAGTTTCTCCGTTTTGATGGAATTCGAAATTTTTGGATCCAAAACTGAAATTTTTGTTTTGTTTCGTTTCGTTTCCGCTCAATACGACGCGGTGAAACGTATGCGGAGTCGTCATTTGATCCACGTGTCGATAATCTACTGGGTGATGTTCACACTACTTGGCGTTTGAGGATTAGAGATAAATACAGCGTGCCGTCCTACGCAGAGACGAACGACACCGTTTCAGAGGATAAACGTGGACGTTGCTAATTCTTGAACTTTATGAAAGTACATGTGTGATTCTCCAACTGTAAAAATCAATTTTGTAGTGTATGATCTAGGTTCAGTGTTCCAGCAAATTTTCTTAATGAGTCTTTTTGTTTCAGGGAATTTTGACTGAGATTGAAAAAATCTGCCGGCCATGATCATGAATCGGTAATCAATTTTTTTTTGGGTGAATACGTATGTAAATCATGAAAAGTGACAGCGCAATAAAGTATTTGGTTAGTGGGGAATGATTCAGTTCATATAATGGATTTGTTAGCAGAAATCTAAAGAAGATAGTGATGTTCTTCCCATATTATATATATCTTATGTATGCAGTATGCTTAGCTAATTTAAATAAATGTCATCCATTTTTGTGAAAGAGCTTGTCTTAGGTTTGTTCTTCTGAATTAGTTTATAGCCTCTTTTCGAGGTCATTTTTCTCATATCTGACCCTTACAAATATTAATATTGTTCTAGTCCCTTGAATTGTTTGTTTGTTTAGTGAATCGGTCACTCTCTGGCTGGTATCATCTAGGTTTCAGCCCTTTTACCACCTGCTCCTTATGGAACCTACTCTGTTGTATTGGTGTTTCCAAAGATCCTAGAAACACTTAAATAGGTTTGGTCGGAAAGGACCACAATAACATTCGGTGTTCTGTTGTGAATTCTTTGGTTACCACAAAAGGAATTCTTTGTTTACTATTTGACTGTGAATGCAAATGTTCTTTATAAAAAGGGATTTTGTTTTCACCTTGTGTAATGGCTGATTGCAAGATGAGCCTACTTCTTTAGTATAAACTTTTGGATAGTAGTTTTTGGATTATGTTCTCATGATTAGTGTAGTAGTTGGTATATAAGAGCACATGCATTGGTGAATCTGAGTTGGGTTCTTTAAAAATAAAAGAAAAATAATGTTTGGAAAAAGTCGTGATTTAAAAAAAAAACTGACGAATCGTATGGCGACATGTGGCGAGCTCGTCTTCACAACTGATTCCAAAACTGCCTCACAAAGAAACAATTATGTAATAAATTTGCCACCTCATTATTACTTTTTATTTATTTTTCCTATGAATCCGTGCCCAAGCTCACCAATGCATATGTTATACAGTGCCATTCTCATGTACTATTTAAGTTCCTATGATACTCAAACTCATTCTCTCTCTCTCAGTCTCAACATTCATAGTAGTCTTTACTTTCTAAAACACTAGAGAGATGGCAGCAAATGATGTCCCTTGCTGCGAGACTATGTTCTGGTTCTACTTAATCGCATGTTTTGCTCTAGTTGCGTTCGCAGGTTTAATGTCAGGACTGACTCTTGGTCTCATGTCCCTTAGTCTCGTCGAGCTTGAAGTCATCATCAAAGCAGGTGAACCCAACGTGCGCAAAAACGCTGGTCAGTGTCACAAACCCCATTACCTTTAATGACTTTTCATTATATTCAAACTAACAACATTTATTTTGCAACAAAATGGCCAGAAAAGATCCTTCCACTCGTTAAAAACCAGCATCTTCTCCTCTGTACACTCCTCATAGGCAATGCTTTGGCAATGGAGGTATCACGCTTATGCATACAACTTCACTTTAGCTTTTTTTAGACTTGTGATTATTTAATGACTATGTTTCTCCAAAAGGCTCTACCAGTCTTTGTTGATTCGCTTCTTCCAGCTTGGGGTTCTGTTCTGATATCTGTGACTCTCATACTTGCATTTGGAGAGGTGAACGGAATCTCGACTTAGCTCTTTCTAGGCTGCTCAAAATCTCACTCTTTTTTTTTTTTTTTTTTTTTTGTTTGGTAAAATGTGAAATTCTTCTTTTTGTTCCATTGTCGTATAGATTATACCTCAAGCTGTATGCTCTAGATACGGGCTGAGCATTGGAGCAAAGCTATCATACTTAGTTAGATTCATTGTCATAGTCTTCTTCCCATTAGCTTATCCAATCAGCAAGGTAAGTAAATAAAGTCAGAACTTAATATTAGAATCAGCCAACTGATTTTTGTGAAAACATATACTTGTTACAAATGCTTCAGCTACTCGATCTGTTGCTTGGGAAAAGACATTCTACACTTTTAAGACGAGCAGAGCTCAAGTCATTTGTGTACATGCACGGAAACGAGGTTCGTTTTCAAGAACTTGAAATGCTTTTTTATTGTTTTGTCAATATATGAGCTGAATCCATATCTTTTTCTTCTGATGATGATTAGGCAGGAAAAGGAGGGGAACTGACTCACGATGAAACAACAATCATATCAGGAGCTCTTGACATGTCTCATAAGAGTGCCAAAGACGCGATGACCCCAGTTTCCGACATATTTTCACTTGATATAAATTCTAAGCTTGACGAGTATGTTCTTCTCTTGAAATATTCCTCTCCTTTATTGCTTTCGACATGTATTCAGTTAGTTTGTTATTCTTATCAGAAAGACAATGGGGTTAATAGCAAGTGAAGGCCGTAGCCGAATCCCTATTTACTCTGTGAATCCAACTGTCATCATCGGATATATTCTGGTGAGTAAGCAACAAATCTATTACACAATGATCTTGAGAAACACTTGGACAATTCTTACATGAGTCTTGAATTTTTTTTTTGTTGGAACAGGTCAAGAACTTGATCAAAGTCCGTCCTGAAGATGAGACACAAATCATTGATCTCCCCATCAGAAGAATGCCTAGGTACATAGATTCTCTAAACAAAACTAACTAAACTGCTTTTGAAGCTGTAAGCTTATGTTTTCTCTTCCAAAATCATGCAAGCAGGGTCAGTTTGAATTTACCACTCTACGACATCCTCAACATCTTCCAAACATGTAGAAGCCACATGGCTGCTGTCGTTGGGGCGAAGAACTGCACCAATACCAACACTCCTCTCCATGACAAGAGCATCATCAATGGTTAGGTTCAGAGACTTAGCTTGTAGTTGTATCTATGAGAGACCATAAACTCTGAATGTCTTGTGTTTTCTCTTCTCAGGAACGGCTTGTAAAGACGGCAACGTTGTTGTGAGCATTCCTGTGACAAACTCTGGCGAAAACAATCATCAAATTCCAATCCGATACATTGATAGTAATACTGATGAAGATGAAGAGATCATTGGGATTATAACTCTGGAAGATGTTATGGAGGAACTGATACAAGTAATCTATATTTACTTTTCATTACAAATGTTTAATATGTGAATGTTCTATTTTTAATCAACCATTTTATGAATCTTGAAGGAAGAAATATTCGATGAGACAGACCGGTATGTGGAAATTCATAAGAGGTATGATCACGTTTTATCATCTCAATCATAAAATTAATTGCATTTTATAGTAGTTTCAAAGGTTTTAAGAATCTTTTTTTTGCTTCTTCTATAGGATAACAATAAACATGTCGATATCTAGAGATTCGAGGCCACAATCACCGGAAACTGCTACGGAGATGGCTTCTCCTATCTCACCATATCGCTCAAGTCCACTGTCGCCGAGCATCATGATCTCTACTATGCTCCGGTCACCAATAAATTCACCTTACCGTCCGTCTCCGTTGCTCCGGCCAACACTTTGCGCTTCTCCACCGGCACAACAACCTCCGTCGGTGCTTTCACCGGACAGTAATGAGCGCTATTACTATTCGTCTCCTAGTGGGGTACGTAACGTGAGGCTCAAGAAGTCCTGTTGAAAGTGTCTTTCTTGCGCTGGAAGTTAACTTTCTCTTTTGCTTTTTGTTTGTGTTTTTTGGCTGCCTTGCAGGTGTTGAGGAACTCGTATGTGAAGCTATCAAGATCAAATGGTTCGTAAAGTTGAATATATTATGTATGTAGTGAATAGTTAAAGAAAAATAAACTTATAATCTCAGGACCACTCATTCAATGTTTTTGTTGGGATGTATTATTTTCTTGGAACGAAAAAATTTGAGAAGGATAAACAGTTAGGAAATGTGTGGCAAGGAAATATCCCAAAGATAAAAACAACAATGCCACTCTAAATACTAAACCATATAATATATGTAGATAAGGTAAATAATAAAAAATCTATACAAATAAAAAAGTTGCAAGAAAACAAAAATAGCAGAAGAAGAAGAAGAAAAGAAGATGAGAGCTCTTTTGTGCTCACAGCCCTCAGTACCATTATCATTTCTCTCAAGAACAACTCTCAAAACCAAACCTCAAAATCCAAGAACCCTAATTCCTGACAACAACAAGCCAAGATGGGAATCTAGGCTCCACGCGAGCCCTAAAGGGTTCCAATCTTCTAGAAGCACTGAAAAACCCGGTCGGTCAGACCCGGACCCGGATGACGACCCGCCGATACCTCAAGAAGTGTTTGAGAGGATGATGGGGAGGATCGTGGTGTCTGTGGGAACACCACTGGGCCTGGGAGTGGCAATCTTGAAATTACTCGAGGTTTTGAAGGACAGAAACGTCTGGGACGTGCCTTTGTGGGTTCCATTCTTGACCACGCTCGTGACCTTTGGTTCATCGGCTCTTGGGATCGCGTACGGGAGCTTGTCCACGAACCTGGACCCGACCAAGACTAACTCTGTTTTTGGTCTCGAAGAAGCAAAGGAAAACTGGGTAGAGATGTGGAAAGAAGAGAAGTGATGTCGACTTCTTGGAACTTGTGGGTACATAAATTAATCTATAGTCCTCTCTTCTGTTTTGCTGTTAAGTTCCGGTTCGAATTTTTTTTCTTGTAATCAAGAAATGAACAAGTGTTTTTATTTTTATGAAGAGAAACAAGAAATTAGATAATCAAGATCTTAGAATAGCTAGGCATAACCCGGAGGGTCCAAAAGGGTTACTATATGCTCTTTTGGATTTGTTATGTATCTCCATTTATGTGTATGTTAGTTTTTAATTTCAATTAATAGTGCATATAATGTAGAAGTGATCTTTCTAGTTCTAGTGTAGAACACTCTCTCCACCATTTTCCATTTTTCTTACTTCTAGAGTAGATTAGCTCGTGTGGGAATCAAATTCACAGGTTTGAAAACGCTCACGAAACCAGGTCCCTTCTTCTTTATAATCCAACCACCGAGGTAAACAGTCATTGCTGAGAAGCATCCCTATACAATGGAAGTAAAACATCAGTGGGAAGTACATACAACAAACTGAATAAAAGGATTACTTCAACTGGATTCAACTCAGCTTACCCCATATAGCGATGCCAACATTGCTACACCAGGACAGATTTTCCAGGCTCTGGGAGTGTTTCTCTCCCATATCACAGCTGTGACAATAGACCCAATCGTCTTCATGATGCAAATGAGAGCTGTGAGGGACAGTTTCGCCGGGTATGACACTACTACCTTGGCCTGCAAGAAACACCAAGCCAGAATGTTTAAGGTTTTGGATTTAGGGCTTGTAAGATATGTAAGGAAATTATCTTAGGGATTTTACCAGAATCATCATGTTGAAGGACCAACTTAGGCAGCTGGACACAAGCATTAACCGTGCACCGCGCTGGTCCAGTGTAGAGGAATTAGAGATCCTCTTCAAAACGTCATGATGTCTCTACATTGGCCTGCAAGAAACATCAAGCCAAAATGTTAGGACAGCCACACTACTATAAGGGGTTGTGGTTTATCTTCAAGTGCACACATGTGGTAGTATAACACCATAATTATATGATAATGAAAACTTGTATATAATTGAGGTTCATAATACTTAAATAGTTAGTGCTATCTGTAAGATTATTTAGAGTTCATAACTTATATGCATGCACTTTACTTAAATACCATGATCTTTAAACAACTTAATCAATCACATAATAGAATCAAAAGTAAAGGTTTAGTGATACTCCATTCTCATTGTAAGAGAAGCTTCCTTGAATTGATCCTTAGAAGTGAAACTTTCTTGACTTGTGTCTTCTTGGCTTGAAATGGAGAAACCCTTTAAACTTTAGGTAGGGGCTTAAGGTTTCTCTCCTCTTCCCTGTAAACATCTTTTATGTGTTGTGTTCTCTTATGAATACTTTCATATGTGTGTCTTTGAGATGGAGCAAAAACACCTATTTATAGGTGAGGAGAGGACCTTATTCCTCATTAGTGTTTTTCTTGATTCAATCTCAACCATCCATCAAAGTAGGATTGAATCCATTTAGTGACAAGTGTATGAACAAGTGTCTTGCCATGAATCTTTAATATGACAAATGTCTTGCCATGAATCTTTAATATGACAAGTGTGACGAAAACTTGGAGATCAAGACACATAAGGGGAGATGTATTCTTAATCCATAAGCAACATGTTTTTCTCATGTTGTATAACATCTCCAAGCTTTGTCTCCAAGCAATTTTCCGAAGAGTGAAAGTGATTTAACACTTGTTCTTTTATGTTCATAAACACTTGTCCTTTATATTCATGAGAAACTAAACTCCTTTATACCAAACGTAATTGGTTACCAAATATTCTTTAGTGTATAACATCCCAAAAAGAAAAGCATTTACTATAAGACCACATAATTGAGAGATGAAATATATTAATTTCAAATATATTTCTTACATTCTCCCACTTGGTCGTTAGTACAATGCACTTAAGTTTTCTTTTGGATCATAAGGCCGGCATAATATGCTACACAATCATCATTTGGTCATCATTAATGTCTTAGCTAATCCAATAATCAATGGGAGTGCGGTTGCACATCATTTCGCAACATGATCCCTTCCATGCACTACTACATTGATTATCTTCATAGTTAGACCCTAAGTAGGAGTTATCTTAATGGTCTCTTTTATGTCTTTATAATAAAGACCTATTCTGTTACTATATTCCAACAACAATAATGTGTACACATTGGAAGCAGAATATACAAAAGATGTAAAAGTCATTAAAGAGCTCAGCTAATTGTCATATAGGCTAACCATAATCAGACAACATAATCAAAAGCCTTCCTCAAGACCATACTTTCAGCATGCTTCTTTAATGTCTTACGAGATAATGCTTTTGTAAATGTCTGTGATCTTAATGCCTATTTATACAATGACAAGCTTTTATCTTTTAACATCTTTCTTTTAACGACATATATATAACCTTAATGTCCATATAATTGGACCCTTTAGATATAATGTCTTACTTTAGAGCAAGATTGCAGCTTTCATTGTCCCATAAAGAGTTAGACTCAATGTCTCAAACTCAAAGACATTTCTGCAATCAAGATTCTATAATAGAAGCCTCACAAATATGGCACATACTCAGCCTACTTAGTGAATGTATTAAGCAACTACAGTTACAAGCTTTTCTATAATATGATATCTCTAATAATGAGATACTCATAGCCAAAAGTGTAGTGCTTAAAACCACATATTCACTAAAATCTGAGTTTAGAAAACTCAACCATCTGTGGATGTATTGATTTTCTACATGTGACCATGTACTTACTTGTTTCCTTTCTGTATCTCAACTTTACAGCTTACTAATATTAGAAGAACACATAATTATGTCTACTCTCTCAAGAACTTTTACAATATATATGCTTTCTGAGACAGTTCTAAAATTCCAAGTGATCAATCATAGAATAGTTATATTCTTTTCACATTGGATGTCTCATTCATATCTTTAATCAAAAGTTCTTGGAAAGACACTTTTAATCTCATTAATAACTTAAAATCATTGCTAGCCAATAATCATCATACAATACCTTATGTATGAACATACTCCCACTGATCCCGAGATACATATAATGATATATAATGTTTTCTTTGAAACCAAATTTCATAAGGGTTTCATCAAACTTTTGATATCATTATCTTGAAGGTTGTTTCTGTTCATATATACCTTTCATATGCAGACCATGTCTCCCTTACCTTCGATTATGAAGTTTTCAGGTCAACACATATAAACTTAAGTTTCCTATATCTCCAAAAGGAAAGGCAGTTTTCAAATAATTTTAATGTAACTCAGGAACATATTGAGGTACTTATGCCAAGTTAATTCTGAGAAAGTCTTTTCTAGACACAAATGAAAAAGACTCACTATAATTGATGCCTTCTTTTTGATTAAACTCTTTAGCTACAAGTCTGGTTCTATAACGTTCTACATTGCTATTACAGTCGAGTTTGGTCTTAAAGACCCATTTATACCCATTTATACCCGACCGCATTTTGTTCTTCAGGCAATGGAACAATCTCCCAGACTCCTTTCTTAGCTATCAAGTTTATCTCTTCTTTACTGGCATCAATCCATTGATCAGAATCAACATCTTTCATGGCTTCTCAATAAGAAACCGAATCTTTAATGACCCATTTACTGGATTCTTCTTGATCATAAATGCATTTATGTACTAGAAATAGCAGATCTACTCGAATGAGTTGATCTTTTTAATGATATTTTCTCTTGTGCTATAAGATCATTATTGGCGATGTTTTCATCACAGAGTGAATTATCATTCAATGGGTTTTCCTCTTTGTTTAACCATTCAACAAAAGGAGGATTCCCAACATTAGGAACTTAGGGTAAAGATATTTTAACCATAATTTCCTGAATGACAACATCTTGATTTTTATCACTCCCACTAACATCGCCATTCTTGTAAAATCTAGCATTATCGGTTTCTTACTACTCTCATACAATGGAATGAACAATAAACACATTTCCTTTAGATTTCTAAGGGTAACCACAAAAGAAACCACTAAATTTTCTGAAATCTAATTCCTTTTCATGTGGGTTATATTCTTGATTTAGCTGGACATCAAACTTAAAGGTGTCACAGACTATGTTTCCAGCCTTTACACAGTTCTAAAGGACGTTGAAGCTGTTTTGCTGGAAACTCTACTCAAGATATTGACTGCAATACATAATGCAATCATCCACAAGAAGATATGTAAGTTAGTTCGAATCATTATGGATCTAACCATTCCCATATAAGTATGATTGTACCTCTCGGTTACATCATTCTGCCATAAAATTTACCACCTCTATTTTGACCTAATGATTTTCACTTTTCTATCTAATTGTTTCTCAACTTCAGAAATGAATGTTTTTACAACATTCAAAGATTGAGATTTTTCATGCAATAGATAAAAAATAACGATAATGTGAAAATCTTGGTGATAAATTACTTTTCTCCTTTCAAAGTTGGAACATCAAATGGTCCACAAATATTTGTATGTATGATTTCAAGAAGCTACATATTTCTTGTGGTTCTTCTTTTATTGTGTTTAGTTTGCTTACTCTTAATGCAATCTAGACACACTTTACTATTGGTAAAATTTAGGTTCAAAATGAACCTATCCTTTACCAATTATTATTTCTTTAGCTGGAAATATGTTCCAGTCTCTTAAACTACAAGGAATACATATCTTTAAGCACATGTTGGCAGTTAAGTCCATCTTTAGCATACACAATGAGATGTGTTTTAATATTGTGATCAGCCAAGTTTAACATAAGAGGCCATCAATTAATATTCTAGAACCAATTCCATCAGGGTTCATAATAATATTAAAACAACTATCTCCTTAAGTTAATTTAAAATATAACAATTCATGTTTTCTTAATGAAACTAATTTCTAGGATACAGATGAAACATAATGTCTTAAAATAAATTAAGACGATATTCATTGTCTATAATGAGACAACAATTGTCAATAATCCAGTTGACTCGATTGTCTCAATTTCCCTTATAGAAATAGTTTCCCTTGAATTGTTACTGATAATAAATTTATGCATGAAACATGTGTATAAGCACCATTATAAATCCACTAATATTTAAGAAGAAACATAAGTAAGATTAGATTCAAAATTCCTTATGTAACCCATAGTGTTACTTTTTCTTTTGAACTATCTTATTTTAAAGGCAATCTTAACGAAAGTCTTTTAACTTTCTATAAAGCTTTCATTTGCCGTTTTTCTTCTTAATAAGTGGATTATAATCTTTAGTTCTGGATAGTGCTCTTTTATGGCTTACTTAATGCCATTTTTCCAGGCTTAGGTTCAGCTTCTTGAACATAATAGGCAACTCTTATATCTTTGTACTAAGCTCACACTCTTCTTTACCAATCTGTCAGCAAATTCACCCAACGTCTACTAATTATGATGTTGCAATAAATTTGGTATGGTCCATACTGAAGAGGTAAAATAATGAAGGATAGTTTGGACAAGAAATAAATCTGTCCACTTTTATTCCCAAATTATTTTGCTTAGTCTCTAGGCTCGATTTATGCAATGACTTTTTGCCATTATCTATTATGATTATAAGATCTGCCATTAGTATCTTATAAAGATTTATATGCATTCTTCTTTAAGATATTAGAAAGCTTTTGAAATTGCTAATATTTGTCAATATTTCATTAACATAATGCTTAATCTGTTCGCTTTCTCCCAAACTTTATGGAGAGATTTTCTTCCTCGGTACTAATTATAGTTAGCGGATTTGACTCTTCTTTACAAAGTGCCAAATTCGAGCTTAGTACTCTTAATGAACTCAACTTTCTCTTTCCATTATGAGAAGTTAGTTCTTACGAGGATTGGAACATCATAAGCCAAAACAATGACAAATTACTATGAAGCGTTTTGCAATTTCTAGAGATACAACAAGTGTTAATTGGCTTCAAAATTTACACAACACTTAAGTTCAATTATTGAAATACATATGACAAGAAATTATAGTGCTCCTGTGGGTAGTCACTATAATCTCATTTTAAGGTCATAGTTTTCGAAAAACATTATTGAGTGATGTTTTGAATTAGTCAAACTAAGTTATCTGTGGATATACTTAGTTTACAAATACAAACACAAACACTCCTTAATATATTTGATCATATCTTATGTTATTAATCTACCTGTGGGTATAATTATAACATAAATATATCAAATACACAAATCATTATAGGGTAAGGTCACTGTGATGATATCCAAACCCTAATAATATTTGCACTCTGTGAGAGACATAAGATCTATACAAATTATGTATAGATATTATCTCTTTAAAAATTATGCTTAACATAATGCATAATTAAATAGTTAGTGCTATCTGTAAGATTATTTAGAGTTCATAACTTATATGCATGCACTTTACTTAAATTCCATGATCTTTAAACAACTTAATCAATCACATAATAGAATCAAAAGTGAAGGTTTAGTGATACCTCCATTCTCATTGTAAGAGAAGCTTCCTTGAATTGATCCTTAGAAGTGAAGCTTTCTTGACTTGTGCCTTCTTGGCTTGAAATGGAGAAACCCTTTGAACTTTAGGTAGGGGCTTAAGGTTTTTCTCCTCTTCCCTATAAACATATTTTATGTGTTGTGTTCTCTTATGAATACTTTCATATGTGTGTGTCTTTGAGATGGAGCAAAGACATCTATTTATAGGTGAGGAGAGGACCTTATTCCTCATTAGTGTTTTTCTTGATTCAGTCTCAACTATCCATCAAAGTAGGATTGAATCCATTTAGTGACAAGTGTATGAACAAGTATCTTGCCATGAATCTTTAATATGACAAATGTCTTACCATTAATCTTTAATATTACAAGTGTGACGCAAACTTGGAGACCAAGACACATAAGGGAGATGTATTCTTAATCCAAGCAACATGTTTTTCTCATGGTGTATAACATCTCCAAGCTTTGTCTCCAAGCAATTTTCCTAAGTGTGACAAGTGATTTAACACTTGTCCTTTTATGTTCATAAACACTTGTCCTTTATATTCATGAGAAACTAAACTCCTTAATACCAAACTTAATTGGTTACCAAATATTCTTTAGTGTATAACATCCCAAAAAGAAAAGCATTTACTATAAGACCACATAATTGAGAGATGAAATATATTAATTTCAAATATATTTCTTACATTATCATATACTAAAAATATAAGAAAAACATAAGCAAAATATAAGCATTATAAAAGGAAAAATGTAAATCCATAATTTGAAGGTAATTGGTGACACCGATTACTATTGATTAACACAAAAATGTTATCAATCACCAATTTCAGAATTTGAGTTTAAGCTATAATGAGTTATTCTTGATTCAATATTTTTGTGATTTCCTAGAACCCACTGACCTTCGGGTAAACTCCTTTGCTTGAATGACTTCACGATGAAGTCGATTTTAATTTCGAAAATCACCAAAATATTGAATCAAGAATAACTATTAAGCTTATTTAGTTATTTTGTATTACGATAAATGTTCGTAGTACTCGATGTTTAAAAAAAAAGTAATAATATTAAATCAAGAATATTGAATCAAGTGAATGAAAGTCCATGGAGTGAATCAATTGTGAATTATTAGAACTTCGAGCCATTCCTGATAAGAGTCTTTGGAGAGAGTTTTCTGAACCCTATAATCTTTAGCAAAATCAATTGTAAAATACCAAATAAATAGGATGTTCTTAACAAAGAATTTGATGATTTGTTGAGTAGAGGTTGTATTTTTTCTAACAATGAAAAGCTAAAGAATACTTCCCCGACATTTATATATAACCAAAGTCCTATGTTTATAATATATGTTTATATACTGAAAGTTTCTATGATTCCTGTTTGGGCAAAATTTAAGCGGTTCACAAGTACAATAAACGGAATGACGCAGGAGAAAATTTATGGATCAATAGAATATATCGAGCTACAACAAGTCAATATCAAAGATTAAACTAAGAAATATCGTCTGTCGCTCGATCTTTCGTCGTAGCCAGGTTATTCGTCGCTTTATCGAGAGGCGAAGAGTAAATAGCTATTAGGGTTTTCTGTGTTTTTCTGAATGTGTCTCTTTGTTCTAGGACCTCTTATTTATAGGTGTTTGTCGGTCCTAGTCCTTGTCGAGTTGGGCCATGATGTTGATTGTAACTTTCTATTTCCTACGGTCGTCATTCACCATTTCCTTTTAATTAGAAATGCATGTCGATCCTTTATGCAATTCCCATAGATTTAGGAAATTGCACAAAACCATTGGTTATTGCTAAACCATTGGCAAACATCGTCGATCGTTGCCTTATCACGTCGGTGCTAAGGTCTCTTACACAATAAGAGGCACCAGTCGTCATAGTCATCACTCGATGACATTTCCGACTTACAAGAGAATTAGAAGAGGGACTGGTTAATGAATTTATTTCACCCAATAATTCCCATCAGTGGTATTGTAGTTTCCGTTTTGGTTTTGATCTAAACTACAATTCCTGGTATCAAAACTTCATATTCTATTTTTCTTTTGATTCAGATGATTTTGTGATAAAAAAAAACATCTATCATTCATATTGATTTTGGTTTTGAATCGGACCACAAATGGTAGCATATCAAAAAATATTATTCATCCTTATTTTTTAGTTTATTAATTATTCATATCAAATAAAGTCTTTATTTGTGGTAAAACAATAAATTTAATTATGTTTTTAATCTATGAATTTTAAAAAATTATGATAACTAAGAAAAATGGAAGGAATGTCATTTATTTTTATTTTGGTTTAATTTTATTAGGACCACAGTTGTGGGATATCGTAAGTTTGTCTTTTAAATATGAAAATTGTTCGTCCTTTTTCCCACGGTCACGGCAACCATACCGTGGGTCCGTGTAAACAAAATGTTATGCTCTATTCGATCTTGAAATGAGTAGAGTAGAGAATGATGATTCGAAGAAAAAGGTAATCTTATGGTTTGCTCGTTTTCTCATTAGGAAAGACATACTGAAATAGTACTTCACGTTATAAAGAAATGCAACGGTAATTTGCTTGTTTGTATTCTGCTTAGAAAAGTATGATTTTGATAACACAAACTTTATCCTCCAGCCACTTGCACGGCAAGGCAATTAGGCAAGCATGATTAAAGCAATTAGTCCAAGTTGAAGATGTTGTTATTAATGAAAGTGACACTGAGCTTATGGATGATAACGTGTCTCGACTCTCTTCTATAATCTCCACCACAATATTTTTTAGGATTCGTGCATGGGTAAAGATCCAATAGGCGATAGAAAATATTTCACTCACATATTTTAATGGGATGTTGCACAGATAATCATCAATTTCAATTAACATAGTTTTCTATGTTTTTGTTTTCTTTTGAAAGAGGGTTTGTTTAGTTTTCTATGTTGGAAACTTAGTTTAGGTATATTAAAGTTATCATGGATAATTAGAAAGGATATTTCAACTTCTTTTAACTACAAAATGATGTACTTTCTTCAAAAAGAACATCGATATTTTAGGCTAATTTTACAAAGTCCTAGAAAAACCAAGAGATTCATATTTCTTCTTCTTTTTGGCATGATTCTTATAAATTTTGTTTTTGTTTTTGTTAAGAAGACTTGAATAATCAGCAATCACCTAGTCAAGAATGGAAATATCCTCGTAAGCTTCACTTCACGTGTGGACCCCAAGTAAAGTAGACTTTTGCATATAGATCTACGATAAAGAAAGACTTTCGTTCTTGACTCTCTCTCAGTTTCATTTCCGTTAGTTATTCAAATTATGATAATTTCTTACAATCGGCTAAAATACAGGATCCATGTAGATGTTCGAAAAGGATTTGGGAAAAGCGACACAGTGATATATATGTAAATCGAATTTGTATCCAATTATGAACACATTCAACCAATCCCTCGCAACATATTGATTTAGTATTAACTGAAGACAAAATATAAAATATACTCCCTCCGTTTTTTATAGATGAATTTTCTAGACATTAGTTGTTGTTTTACAAAGATAAATTTTCTATTTTTTTGATACACTTTTTCAGTTTTCAAGAAACAATGATTGTATTTGTTAGATTTTTATTGGTTGAAAATCATAGAAAATTATTTTATTGCAAAAATCAATACACTAGTGATTGAAAATCAGCTTTTCTTAATGTGTGAAAATTCTAGAAAATTTATAAAAAAAAAAAACGGAGGGAGTATTCAGCGTAAGAGATAAGTCTACGTAAATCAAACCGCAAGGTGAAAGACTAATTATTACTTGATGATTGAAAGTAAAAGTTACCAAAGCGTATCATAATTAATTTTTATCCTACATAAATTGAACTTTTTTTTTTTGAATAAGCTCAAATGAGACAATGTAAATGTATTACAGTACACAAAAAAATACATTCTTCCATCAAAAATAAGTGTGACATTATTTAAAAATAATAATTTCTAAAAATTACATAATCACACAAGTATTTGGTTCCTCCACAATTACTCTAGAAGTTCCGTAATGTGGTTGATAGTAAGAATTTGCATAAGACGACTGGTATTGGTACGGGTACATCATCTGAACCGGAAAGGCAATTTCTGGCTGTTTAGTTGGATCCGGTTTCGCTGGTTCAGGCTTTTTCTCTGGTGGTTTAACAACTTCAACCGAAACGATATCTGCGTTACATATCTTCCTTAGCTTCATCACAATAACCGGTACATCAACATCTCCAACTACTGTCATTTTCCCGGTTTTGTCATCCATTGTTATCGAAACAACACCTACAAATAAATAATGAAAATTCAAACCGTGAATAATTTACTGATTAAACTTAAACCATATTATAAATCATGAACAGGAGTTTATGAAAATACCTGGAAATCGAGAAACTCTCACAAACACTTTCTGCCTGATTCTCTCCTCGTGGACACTCAGTTGCAACACAGCTTTCTGTCATATGAAACACGAGATAAGCATTAGTATGACTTTACTTTCTATATATAATGATTAATCAACGATAACTAAATTAAATATAACCATTTCAAGTTTTCAACTTCCAAGAGAGTAAAAGAATGGGAGAAAATGTGTACCTTCGCTGTCATGGCTGAAGAAAACTATAGAAAACCTTAAGAAATTTCGATATTTTTTAAAGAGAGAGAGAGAGGGAGATGTGGAAGAGATAGATTGAGATGTCGAAGCTTCTTGATGACAATTGCAAGTCTAAAGATTATCTATTATATAGAAATTCGATAGGAATATACGCGGAAGTTAATATATGACCCACATAGGGTTTTTTGTTTTTTATATAACAAAAGCATTGCCCAACGACCACATAAACAGTAAAGGAAAGAGTCAATATCAATTACTTTATTATTTTAAGAGAATTTTTTCAGGATTTAGTTGAAAAGTAAAACTAATGCAACGAGGCAACGACGAAAGAAACCGGAAGAAGTACTGATCCTTGGCTCCTTGCTCAATAATAGGGCCCCGTGTACGACCCGGACAACGTTGATTTTTGACCCTATTGAGTCTACTTGGGTCACGTAAGGACTTTATTTTTTTGTTTGTTTTAAGTCAACGTAAGAACTTCTCAAGCAAGTTCTTTCTAGATACGGATCTTGGAAACTTTTAACCACATATAAACCACAACTGATATCGAAATCAAACCGAGAATGAATTGACAACATCTTTATAGTTTATATATTATTCCACCCTAATTTAGATTGATCGAATAAATAAATTGGTATCCAATTAATCTTCATATAGACTAATAGACATTTCCGTTTAAGCGGCAGTTTAGCCCAACTTTTTTAATTTTTTCAATGTTAGGTTTAGAATTTGACAAAGCTAACTTATATTCATGATTTTAATATATTGAGTCTAAAATTTGTTAGTTTTACATAATAATATATCAAATCTACAAATTATGATGCATTAACATGTTAAAAATCATTAGATAGCCCAATAACTAAGCCTAAACTAATCTCTAATTTTTCTGCTGGGTGCTTAACCCACTTTAATCCGACTTACACGCTTAGTGTTTCAAACAAAAGTAATAGATGCGTGTTTCCCATATTTCCATGCATTCATTACGTTTTGTGTGTGTGTGTGTGTGTGTGTGTGTGTGTGTGGCTGCTTCCTGCTGGGGAAGTTACCTAGAAGCACAACTGTGAAATCCAGTTATCGAGTGATACCATGACTGCACGTATAAAACAGTTCTGGATGTTGAATCAATATTAATCAGCAGCTTTGGCATTGATTTGATCTTAATTGAAACTACATATATAACTGCCAAACAAATAAATAATTATGTAGATGATTTGCGATTGTTTTGATATTCATTTGAGTTGCTTATAAACCGAAATAATATCAAGAGTATATAGTTAATACGTAAACGTTGTTTGTTGTAAATTAAGCTGATCGTCAGTCGCTAGCTCATTTTGTATGTTATCCTTAATTATTGTTGTCAAATGCCAACAACCCTTACTACCCAACAAACGATTGCTACTACTCGTAAAATATATTTTACGCGTTTGCGAGTAGTAGCGAGAGAACCAATCAAAATGTAAGTGAAGTTGGAAAATTGAGTGTTTGTGGTTTTTGAGATGCATATTTAGATCAAGGGTTTTGTGCAAAACAACCCTCAATTTTTTACTCAGATTTTGCAGGTTTGACTTGGATATTTTTTAAGTTGAGGGTTAGATTTACACACAAAAAATAGTTTGTGGTTTTTTTTGCATATTGTTACAAATATAGAGATGTCTTATATTGCGGGGTTATTTTGACTTCATAAGTTTGATTTGCACAACTTTAAATTGAAGGTTTGATTTACAAAAAGAATTTAGTTTGAGGGTTGTTTTGCAGAAAACTCTTAGATCAACACATCAAAGTTTTTCCTTTGTAAATACATTGATTTTGTGTTAGAGATATGAACGTAGATTTTCCTTAAATAATAATATATTGGAAATTTCCTTGAAAACATTTGGGGCACTATAGCAACAGCAGAGCAAAACCAAGTGAATGAGTATTACAGTAGATTTGGGTACTCACTTGGTCCAAATTTTGTTGTCAAGAAATTACGCAAGCATTGGGATTTTCATAGACACATCCGTTGTAATGATAGTAAGGTGGATATGGTGGGGGGATAAAATGACTAATCACTTCTGGTTTCTGTTCCGGTTTTGATTCAGGCTTCTTCTCCGGTTCTTTAGCCGGTCCAACACTGATAATCTCGGTATAACATATCTTCTTTAGTTTCTTCACAATCATAAAGACATCAATCTCTCCGGTAACCGTTAGGTTACCTTCCTTCACGTCCACCGAACTAACTCCTTAATTACGTACAAATCAAAATATAATTATGGCTTAATCATCTATTTAATACTATTTTGAGGCGTAAAGTATATTAGTTAACTACTGCTGAGTGTTTGTGTACCTGAGAGACGACAGACAGTTGCCATGGCTTTTTGTTTGGTTTTCTCACAATTTGCTTCCAATTTCAATACAGCTTTCTGTCATGAAATATTTGAACATGATCAACAGTTAATCAGAATAGTATAACGACGTTTGAAATAAGCAAAAAAATGGGAAAGAAACATATTGTACTCCATTTTACAAACTTTGAATTTGGAGAAAATATATTAGGGAAAGATAAAGAATTGAACCTGCATTTTTTCTTTCTTCAGTTGATGATTAGAGAGAATAAGTATGTCGTGGATTGCTAATGAGCTTCGAAACTGTCTCCTTTATATAAGCAGTTTTGCATGCCATCGTAATGTTTTTTCTTTTCTTTTTTTGTTCTTAATGTTTTTCAACAAAGACTTCAACAAAAACTAAAGTCATGCGGAAAAGACGAGAATGATTGAAACATTCCACATTTCCTTTGAACGTAGGGAATGAAAAAAATCATGGATATTAAAAAAAAAAATTATCCTTGCAATTGTCTAATTTTAGACGTAATTTTTTTTTTGTTAAAGAATTTTAGACGTAATTAAAAAAAAAAGAAAAAAACGACGATAGTTAAATATCTTAGAATTGTTTCTTCCATGCATATATTTGTACAATAATTACTAACAGATTAGTCTAATTTTATAATGTTTAAATTTCACAGTCTCATTTTCTAATAAAAATATGAGACGACGTTTATAAATAATTGCTGGCCAAACCATAAATTGTTTACAATAATAATATGTAAAATAGAAAATTTACATAAATTAATTTAAAAGCAAAAATAAAATAAAAATAATGACATGGTCATGGACCAATCAAATTCAACCTTTTAAATCCTAGGTGGACAACCTCTAATGCATATAGACTCAATTTTTATTAGTAATAGATTAGGGAGTTGCTCTTTCCATATAGAGTGTCCACATCAGCATAAAAACATTAAATTGTATTTTTTATATTAAATATATAACTATTCATATTTCTTTACATTTATTTCATATTTTAAATATATAAAAAATTAAGAAAAATACACAAATAAATTAATTAATTAATAAAAGTATATGATAACTTGATATTAAAATTTATCAAAAAGTTGGAATATAAAATGGAGAGGAGTAAAGAAATATTTAACTTGAAATAATATATATTTGCTTTTTTATTCAAAGGATTTATCTTATTTAAAAATGTTAATTTACAAGTTAAAAAGTTGAATATAAATTAATTAAGATAATAGAAAAGCTAATGATAAATTAGAGTTAGAATTGTTTTTTTAAACAAATATAAGTGGAGTTTCTATATGTAAATTTAGTTGCAGTGAAAAACATGCAAATTTTAAGGATTGTGATATTTTGTTTCAAAAATATAATTTATATTTAGAAAATTAACATAACAAAAAATAATCAATGGTTAAAAAAATATACAGATTATTTTCTTTATGTTTACAAATTTTAACGTTGAGTCAAAAGTATATACATGTTTATAGTATAATAGAAGTAAACAAATATAATATTTATAATAAAATTTTAGAAATAGAAAACTCGAGATAAAGTGGAGTGTTAACATCTTAATAAAATAAAATAAAAACAAATTGTTCATATTTTTTAGTGTTAGTGATTGAGTTAACTCAAAACATATGAAAGTTAACACAACCCATCATAATTCAAACCAACGTGTATAAATAAAATTAAACAGAAAAAACACAACCCCACGCTTGCGGGGCTTCAAACCTAGTATATGTTCAATGGCTCCAGAATTAGATACAAATGGCAACAATTATCCAAAATTAAATTAACCAAAAATTATAGTTTATTCTCTATAGAAAAAAAGGATTAGAGTTTCTTTTAAAGTCTTCTACAATTACAAATGAAGTAAGTATTTCTTTTGGTGGAGATTCAGTCCCAAGCAAACATTGGACCAAGAAAGCGAGTTTATAGTTGAATACTTGAATCAACCAATAATCGACAAGTCGACAAGTTTGCAGCGACTATTCTGATTAATTGTTGATTACAGCTCTCTGTCATACATACTGCTAACAGCTTTAAGTCTCCAAGTGTTGGAATAGTTGTACACCAAGATCTTACATTTCCGACTTCTGAATTTCCAGGCAATTGCCAAGCCGATTTCGTTCTCATAGTGTGGCCTTGAAAAAGACATGGTCGTATTCTTTTGAGACATTATTAGTAAACCAAATCGTACGTTGATACTATTGTCATACATTACAAAGATACGAGCTCAGTTTGTGTACGAGTTCGAGTATCAATGTGCGAAAATAACTTACTTAATCCAATTCAATTTGCTGTATTACAATTCTTTAAAAAATTGGTATATGCTAAAAGTCCATAATTTTGTAATCATTGTAAAAAAGTTGCAATAACTTTACCAAAACAAATATTTCATCGTTAAAATGGATTGACTATCTATTTCCATCAAATAAATTTCAGATACCATCAAAACCACACAAAGTTTGGCTTCGTTCCATATTCCTTTTCGTTGAAAGTAGGTTCCCCACAAAATAAAAAATAATCGGTTAAAATTCGGTTTTAGCGGTTTGCTTGCTAACCCAAAACTAAACCACACAACACCTAAAACTAAACCGACCGACCCAAAAGGTTTACCCGTAAACTTGCGTTAAATTGCGGTTCCAACCCCAAAAATTTCCAAATACACTTTTTCTTTTTTCTTGTAAGTCTGTAGTTAGGTTAGAAATTTTTAGTATGAGGGACAGTTTCTTAGAGGGAGTGGATGATGATAATGAAGAGAGAAGCTTTGGTTGTCTTTAGACTATTAAGGCTAGGCATTTTTGTCTTTAGACTATTAAGTATGGGCATTTTACCCAATACGAAAACTATACATTATTCGCACACATGTTCAGTTACATCAAACTTAGAAAGAAAGTGTTCCATATGTGTAAGGTCAAGGTCATTGTCAATTATGAATTATGTATACATATATATTCATGTAGTCTTTCATTTGTTTGTGAATTTAAGGCTAATTAGCAATAACAAACGAAAGCCAAAAACAATCAATAAACACCACAACTAAGATGGATTCAAACTTTACTGTAGACGATGTAACTGATTTTGTAGTCCATATCACACGGTAGTCCATGGAGCTCGACAATTTTATAGTAAAAAAATCCCATCTAACAGAAATATTAATACTTTGACTTAAATAGATAATTTATTTGCCGTGCACGGTGTTCCACAAACTTCATGTCCTCGTCGAACCTTGTGTTCTCGCTTGTGTCGTGTCTCCTTCTGCATCTGATGGTTTAACACAAATCTTACGCTTAACAAAAACAAAAGATTACAAATAAGGAGGCAGACTTTGTTTTAGAAGAAGATACGATGAAATTCTAGTCCTGCTGGTCAAACCGAACACATCACCTCAAACAAATCTAAAAGCATTTCTAATAGTTGATATTAAAAATTTGAAAAAATAAAAAGAGAATGAATAGAGTCTCTCAAATGAGAAACTTTGAAAATTATATTCCATGAGAAATTCAAAACACATTTGTCAGTGCATAATTAGTTTAATTTTATCAGAAGTTAAAATTAAATAGTAAAGTTAAACTATATTAAAATTAGAAGTATTTATAATAATAAACTAGAAATGGATTTTTTAAATAATAAAAAAAATAATTCAAGAAAATTATAAAGTTACCTCAGTTCTGTGTTGCACCTTGTTTTTTGCTCATCTTTTCCATCCAGATCTTCTTTTCTTTCATGTCCTGTTCCTTCAGCCGCTGAAAATGGAGACGTACTTTTTCTGCACGTTTTCTTCTCTCAAAGAATCCAATCACACCTTGAACGATGCCTCCTCCCTGCTTAGCCACACCAACACCCGTAACTTTTGCCTGCTCAGCCACACCAACACCTATAACTTTTGCCTGCTCAGCCATACTAACACCGATAACTTTTGCTTTCTCCCACCACTCATATGGTTGCAATGATGTTGTCCAACTTGAGCTACCAGCATCATCACCATCGGACTGCTTATTCACTTTTTCAAATTGTGAAAAGGGATAATTCACTTCTTCTAGGTTAAAAGGGTGTTTGCCTTCATCATCTTGCGGTTGGAGCTTTACTTCTTGCTCGATCTTGATTATGTGCACAGATTGATCTATCTTCACTATTTCCTTTATCATTTCAAAGCTATTAAATTCTCCCCTCACCTCTAGCTGACCTTCTTTCTCGACTTCTACCACCGAAATAACTCCTAACAAGTAATAACAGCAACAAAAATTACTGCTTAGTTTACGAAAGCAGACACAGATTTCTTATTTACTTACGTATATAAATAAACTGATTTTTTTTTTGTTAATGTATATAAACTGAATATCTTGCCATCATTGATTTATTTGGTTTAATACAACTATAGATTTTTGTAGGTGTACCTGGAAACTCCTTGGCAACTTGCGTAGCTTTCTGTATGATGCGTTTATCAAAAACTTTAAACTTAAATATAACTATCATCTGCAAATTACATGGTAGATTAGCAACAATTTTACCAAACATCTATATATATATATATATATATATATAAATAAAGTTCATATCATTCTATTATGATGTTGCCACCTCAGTAGAAGAGGGTGTCTCTAAATTCAGCATATCAATTTATTTATTATTTCCTTTTCTATTTTAATTTTTATAATAATTATTATTTATCTATATATAATAGCAAACTGAATAAATGTCTTTTGTTGTCGTACTTTTCGTTTTTAACCGTCTTATCTATAACCGCTCATAAAAAGAGTTGTGTTCTTTCAGTCGCATATTTTCGTTTATAACCGCTACATTGTTGAAAAGTTGCACCTTTTAGTAATACCTTTTCACTTCTATATATGTGTGAGATTATTTTATCAAATAGTTACATTTTTTTTCCATCCTTTCCTAATTATTTTCTTATTTTTTTCTCCCTACTTCTCTCATTGTTTTGTATTAACTTTTGTTAAATGCCATTTTTATATAGCTGTTGCTTCATTCATATGTTTACTCATTTTAGCTATGGCTTTTGCACAATTAAGTAATTTTGATACAGATTAAAGCAAGCTATCATATATCATGGCTTGTGAATCAATGTGGAGGAAATTCAAATATGAGATTCATGTTCAATATCTTTAGGTCAAAGTGTAAGCACACACTTCTGTTGAACAACCGCCATGAGAACGAGGAACGAAACTCACCAATGCAGGAGACTCGGTTAAGTCGTTATTGACTTTGAAGGTGAATTGATATCACTCGTAGCTTTAATTAACGCTTTCGAAAACTCATAAACTCTTACCTTGTGACACAGAACGTCCAACATCAGGCAACTCTACATAGACTACATCTCCCAAATGCTCTTGAGAATGATACGTTATACCAACCGTCGCTTTATTCCCTTCGATCTTCACCCCATTCATGTGAATCTGCGTATCTCAGATCCTTCAATACCACCAGTAAAAGTTTCTCACAATCCTTCTTTCTTTATTTTTTTATATGACAAAATTGTTTTGTGTTTTAAAGGCTTCAAGCCAATCGATCATATAAATTCACTGTTATTAAAGCCTCTTTATTTCGTTTATGTTAAGATCAGATATTAAAAAAAAAAATTAATTTAACATGTTACAGATCAGAAAGGCAGAACATTTCTCAATAGAAATCGAACAAAGAGAAAAGGGATGGTAGAGGAAGGAAATGGAGATTCACCAGAAGAAAAGCTTCGTTGAGAAACGAAGATCCTGAGATGAGAAGCAACTCTAGAAGAAGCCCACAACAATCTGGAAGCCATTTTTTCTATGATTCTGTTCGCGGTGGCTGTGTTAAAAACTTAAAAGCGCAGAGAAGATTTTCCGTGATACACAATAATGATAGTGCACTCTTTATTTTTTAAATTTGTTTTATTATTTTTGCTATAATTAAACAAGTTTATGCTAAATTGTTTGTTTGAAGTTACGTTTATTGATAGTAACAAGTTCATTTGATGGTAAACTTGTTCGACAGAGCCAACTTCTCTCCCGATAGAGACGACTTTTCGTGCGATTGTCACAACCGCCGTCTTTGCGTCTTTCTCCGGCCGACATTGGCTTCACGCATCTCCAGCGTCGACACCAATGCCTATTTTTATTGTATATTCAATCTGGGTTGGGTTTAAGTTTCTATCCAATTTGAATCTCATCACTTATGGAATGTCATCTACAACATCTAAACTGTTAGATGATTGTGTTAATCTTGAATCCGATGATGGTTTTACGACAGGCACACGGCGGTTTCTTCATGCCACACCTATGGTGGTGTATCACAGTGATCGCTGATGTTGTGCGGCGTTGGTCTCCCATTTCGTTCAAGCGTTGTCGGTTCCAATGGGTAACCGTTTTTCTCTCTCATGTAGAGTTTCTTTCCGGTGTAACCGGTTTTGGTGTTGGATTGTTGTCAATTTACCTTGTATGGGATCCAGGAATCTCTCTCATGATAGAGGATACGTTAGCCATTAAACGAAAACGTAAAATGGTGACACCACATCAACATAGATTAGATGAAACTAAGGTCTTTTGCACACACTTGTGTAAAGGAGATATTAGTTTCTTTTCATCTTTGGTTATCAGAACTTTCTTATTCGGGATTGAGAGAAGGATGTAGAAATTTGAAACCAGCAAGGGGAAAATCAAAGTCAAAGTTCTTCACAATGACTATGATACGGAAGCTTTGGTATCATAATGTCGATATTTCAAAACTTTTATCGGAAGCATCGGGTTTTGCAATGCGGTGTGCAATTTGGAGGTTAAGCCAAGAAACGCTACTCAAGCACACAATTCGCATAAGAGAAAGATCGAGTATGGAGAAGGAAAATAATGGATATCATAATCTGTTAGCGAGTAAGGCTTATCTAAGGCATCGTTAAATTCACTTCTTCTGGAGTATCTTTTTCAGTATATGGCACATATATCTGCTTATATATGTAATAATTTGCTTTTTGAGAGTTCTGTAAATGACTTTGCAATCCCGATTTGATATCAATGAAATTATTAGATGAAAAAAAAAAAATAGTAACAAGTTCATATTTCCTTTTCTTTGTGCTTCTATTCGGTAAGTGCTAATTCTAATACTTTATATAAATCAACATGCATATAAGAATAACATGTTCTATTTCTGTATAGTTTTTTTTAGGGAAAAGTAATTGACCCGCAACATATAAATTGTTAAATATTAATCATAACTTGAAGCAAGTTGTCATGGACGCTCCAATCCCAACACGACTTTGCCATGACATTTCTTCATGCATCCAAAACCCTTGCAACACTTAAACTAAACAAAGTAATTCAAATAATATTTAATGTTTACCATAAATTTGTATATCGATTTAATTGAAGGATAAGTTAATATTAAATTAAGAATTATAAAATGTGACACCATGATGATGAAAAGCATTATAACGAATTGGGAATATTTATAACCCATTCCCTTAGCTTAATAATATAAATATGTATAAACATATATACATTACGTTCATATATAATGAAGTGGTGCGATGAACCATCACAACCTTTGGATGATATGTAATTATGAACCATCACAATTCACAACTCTTGGATTATATGTACATGTATATATTTGTGTGATATTTCAGCGTGACAGTTACCCTTTCATTACATGAGAAATAGATAATAGCAAGTTAGTAACCCTTGAAAGAAATTCATAAAGTTGTCAAAAAAAAAAATTACATCAATAAAAGAATAGTAATCTTCCCCAACAAAAGATCATAAAAGAGCAAAGGGTCAAAGGGAATTCGAAGAAGAATCAATTGAACTGTTGATCTCATAACAAGCATAAAAAAGCATGGATCAAGGTTAGTGTTTCTTTCTTATTCTTTACGAAACAGTTTAGGTTGGAGTAAACCAAATCTAGATCTTCTTGGAATATATTTCAGAATATAAATCATTAAAGTAGTTTATAATTGACATAAGAGCCATTCTAGATTTGTCTAATCTTCCAGTGATTAGTGTCCTGAAGGCATAACGGTGACCTTTATGGAATTGATCGATTGTGACATAAAAGTTGTATCGGTTAGTGTTATACTACTTTCTGATTTCAATTGGTGGAGAAGAAATCAGTGGTTACGGTATCACATTAGTTGTTTGAACGAATGCTTAAATTAATTTCTCTTCTTCTGGAACTGTTGTTGATTAAGCATGCATGCATTAACGAGTGTTTTCTAAATTTAGCATGGAGTATTCTGGAAGTATTATGGTGCGGTTATAAATTGGCAACTAAGGAGTAAACAGTAATTAAAGTTACTATAACGATGTTGTTAGTAGATTCATAACCCGAGAAGATGTTGTTTGAGAATGGCTTGAACTGGCGATAAGTTGTTGATAACTGTTTCCATTGCGCTTTTTAAGAAATGGGTAATTTGTGTTATGCAATATTAACATGATAAGGAAGATCTTGGAAGTATGGTTAGAGATCTTGATCATACATTTATTCCCGTTCATCTTTGACATCCAAAGGTGATCAAGAAACTTATGTTGGTACTTCATTTTTTATCTATGGAAATTAATTACCCTGGTTCAACTCTATTTTTGCTTTAGCAACAAGATCGAAACAGATTGAAACAAAGAACATGTCTAAACACAAGAATAGTATACGAAAGAAAAACAGAGAAACAATTCATATGTATTCTACTTAAAAAATTGGAAAATTACTTCATCATATTAAAAGAACAAAAAAAAGAATATAGCGATGAATGTCCAAGCAAGTGGGATCGATTTAAAGATCATCAATTTATCACTTTTGCAAACCCTCTTCGTCCTGGCGATAAGATGTTGTTTGAGAATGGCTTGAACTGGCGATAAGTTCTTACGTTAGCATTTGAATTTACACTAAGTGGAAAAGAAAACTGAGTATGTCGGTCAATTGTGATTGAAACATACCCTGATTAGATCCCATTTTGGAAAAAAGATTGGGGTAATTATTATCTTCAAGAAAAAGACCAGTGACAAATTTTTTTTCGAAAAAATGTGATTTCAAAGTGTGTACATTTTTCTAATGTCATGACTCATGTGAATCAATAAGCTTTGTCTGAAAACAAAAAGCAAAACGATTTTTTTTGTTACACTATTGAGTTTGGGAGAGAAAACAGAGTGAAGCAATAAAAAGAGGGAGTTAACATTACACTACAGATCAAATCCTATTTTGTCAATCTCATTTTTCCTCATCTAATTTAAAAACAGCAAAATATTGTCGGATTGCATTATCTTGTATGACAATTTTTAGAGCAACAAGTTCAATTTACATTATTATTTACTATTATAACTACCATATAATATTTTTTCATTATATGATACATGTATTGCAAAAAAAATTTAATAAATAATTTATCATAATATGAGTTACCGCGCGATTTTGCGCGGGTTCAATACCTAGTTATTATAGTAACTTAATAAGAATATGAAAAGTCATTTAAAAAAAAAAATTATGTATAGATATACAAAAATATTATGTCTGATTAGATTTACTTTTAGCTTTTAAGGTTTGGAATTAATTAATGGTGTGATGGATTTCCATGGTTTGATATTTATGTTTCTTATAAGAAGCGTTGATTCTTCGTCCAAATCCAAGAACCTATTTCATGTATAATAATCACATTGCACAAAATCATAATTTAAAATACATTGTATATTTTTCAAATGGATCTAAAACCATATTTGTTGTGTGTTGAGTAGATGTTTAGGGCCAAGGGTGAGTGGTTGTTTATCCTCTTTGTTATACAATTAATTAGTCTCAAAAGATATACGATTTAACTAAGACCTTAATAAACTGATACTCCCTCTATTTTAGTTCTACAGCATTGCACATAGATTAAGAAAGTTTATTAATTGACTATTTTGACCTCACAAAACATAACTATTTACCTTTTATTTTTGCCTTTTTCTTTTTGTTTTTCTGCATTGCACAAAATCATAATTTAAAATACATTGTATATTTTTCACACGGATCTAAAACCATATTTTTTTGTGTGTTGAGTAGGTACTTAGGGCGAGAGGTGAGTGGATGTTTATACTCTTTGTTACACAAATAATTAGTCTCTAAAGATATACGATATTACTAAAACCTTAATAAACTGAGACTCCCTCCATTTCAGTTTATTTGTCGTTCTAGAACATTACATAGATTAAGAAAATTTATTAATTGACTACTTTAACCTCACAAAACATAACTATTTACCATTTTATTTTTTGCCTTTTTATTTTTATTTTTGTTTTTCTGCCTTTTTCTTTTTATTTCTGAAAAGAATATCACAGAGATATTATCTTCTTCTCCGAGACTCACTAGACAAACAAACACCAAGCTTTTCCAGCCAAATTATTTTCACTGATTTTACCAATGATTAGCAGAGAACAACTGAAATTTAGTAGCACGATGTTAGCTAGTATTCCATAGAGTTCTAGAAGCTTGATTTTTTTACATGTTGTGACTCATAATCGATGCATAGATTTGTCATGTCTTGACTGCAATTCCGTCTGCAACCAAGGCGGATCCAACCAGAGAGTAATGGTGTTGATCTTCATCCGCTCTTGAGCCTCTTGCAAAAATCATCTCCTCTCCACCTGGCTCACGGCCGAATGAGGAAGTTAAACCAAGATCTCCGGTGGCGATTGCGAATATCAAGGAGATCACAATCCATAGATTGAATTTTTTTTTGATTAAACGGGCAAGAATCGGGGTGAAGAAGAGCTGCGTTGTGTAGATCTGTGAAATCCTCAACTTCAAGCTCGAGCTTCCCCATTATGGCAAGTCTTCCTTGAATGGATTGGAGAATTCTGTTGCAGATGGTGAGGTATATGCAGTGGAATCCATAGAAAGTGATCGGGAGTTGTTGTTAGTTTTGTCTCTTGGTGGTGATGATGAAAGAGATTCTTCAAATATTCTAACATGTGAGACTAATACTAAAATTTAATTATTTAGTTGTTTCTATTTTATGAAATGATGTTATTTTAATTGAGGTTTTTTTTATTTATTTTGGTCAATATTTTAATTGAGGTTATATTTGGAAATCTTCATGAAAAGCGAGAACAACAAGTAAGCTTCTCGATGAACAAAGTCGGATTCTCCCTTGAAATTCTTAAAAATCAAGTACAAGAAAATGGAAATAATGGAACAAGAAAACAACAAGAGTTGAGCGGCGCCTCCTTCTTCCTAGACGAACTCCTAGGGCTTCTCTTTTGATGGCTCTCTTCTCTTGACTCTCCAAGAACTTTTACTCTCTTGCTTTAGCGGCTAAAAACATGTATATATGGGCGAAGTCGTGTAGGGTTTTCTTCATGCCGAAAAAGGAAAGTTTCCCATGAGCCGAGCCTCCTTCTTCACATCATGCATGGGCTGGGATTTCAACAAAGAAAGCTCCAAACATTAGCCAGGCCTCTCTCTTGTCGAGCCAGTGCACCTGTGGTAAGATGTATTGCCAAGAACTGCTCAATGGTCACTTAAACATTAGTACAACCATGGTTAGATCCAAGATAAGGTCATGATTCTCGACAAAAATTTTGACTCAATAAAAACGACTCGATAAAAGGGAAAAAATGCAAATGAAAATGCCAAAATGAACAAACATAGTTAGTAATCCCCCCAGACTTAACTTGCACCGTCCCGGTGAAAGCAAATCAGATTAAGAGAGGCATAACATGAAGTTCAAATGAAAAATTGAAAAGAAAAAGGTTTAGGATGATGTTACCAAATGTCGACCAATTTATAATGAAGATCAGGTTCCGGTTTGGGTCATGGTACACTTCTTTAGGCAATATTGGTCGGTGAGTTTTGAATTTCAGGCCTTGGTTTCCGCCGGTTTGTGTTTTGGCCGAGATTGGTACATTCGGTCGGCCAAAATGTGGTGCTGTGAACTACAGAACAAACCGTAAAATTTCATGACCTATATTGAAATTTCATCGACCAACCTGGTATTTTATGGCCTCTGGTGAAGTTTGGGAGCATTTGAACGAGTGGATTGAGACTTCCTTCACAAAATGGTCAATTCGGCTCCGGGAAGGAGTTTCCTTGGCCATTGAAGTTTGGCTCGTTCCTTTTCGTTTCTTCCTGCATAAAATGTTAGTTAAGCTCAAGGAAGAGTTTTCCAACCGGTTGGCGCGCCTATGCCGTGATTTGGTTTTGTCGGCCATATTGCTTGCCGCCATCGGCCATGTGACTTGGTCTATCTCATGAACCGTGATGATTTCTCCGTCCTATCTTTTGGATTTGCCGACCAAATGTGATTTTATGGTCGCCTGTGAAGTTTGGTGGACTTTCACGCCGTTTAGGAGTTGGCCGTAATTTCTCCTTGTACGCGTCATGGCCGAGAGAAATGTGCCGGATTGAATTTCTTCAAATCCACTCGGGCCAATTGAGATTTCTTCGACCGAATTGTTTATAACCCTCCTGTGTCATTCCCAAGTGTGCCGCCTTGTTTCGTGTGATGGCCTGTGTATCTCCTTTAACCTCCTTTGGCCGCCATATGCATGTTGGTTTTAGGTTGATATGTTGGTTTTAGGTTGGTTACAGCCTTTCTCAATGTCTCCTACCTGTCAAATGTTAACTCCTTGCAAAACACTTGAAATCACTTATTAGATGGTTTCTTAGATTGAGATCCTCAAGTAACCAACTTGAAGTTCACAATCCAAGAGATAATGTACAAACTATAAACTTTTTGGGTCTTGGTTAATGATCCAAACTTCAAATTATAGTTCAATCTCTTGAATTCAGTGCATGAAATGAGTTTGACAAGTGACTATGTATTTCATTCAATAACCATCAAAAATGTAAATCGATTGAAACCATGAAATATATGTGATTAAGTGCAATGGTTCAAACGATTATCAAGTTAAGATCAGTGGTGGTTATGAATGAATACAAGATGATAATTGGCTTACCTTTTGAAGAAGAAACGCCTTGTGGGCTCATTGGGTGGGACACTTTCATGATTGGTCTCCTTTTGGGTCTTCATCCTAAGAAAATATTTTTGTATTTTTGTATGATTTTTGAAAAACTCCTGCAAAATAGAAATAGATAGTTAAAAACCATATGGGTTGCCTCCCATAAAGCGCTTTTGTTTTAAGTCATTTAGCTTGACTCCTTCTTTCTTTAAGCGTGGTGAAGAGTGGCTGAAGGGTTTAGGATCCCTTTAGCTTCTCCATTCTCTGGTTCAGGTGCTCTTGTGGTGGTTTGGGCGCGCCATGATCATCTCTCATGTCATCCTTGACACTACAAGACAGACATGTGATTTCTGACGGAAATTCCGACGACAATATTTCCGTTGGAAATTTACGACGGTCAAGCGACGATTTACCAACGAAAAGCTCGTGGTTGGATATATAGAAGGATCTAGATGATCATGATATTATTAGTAAATATATTGTATTAACTATTGAGATATGTATATATCTAGTTTAGGAATTATGGTTTAATGTTTATATTCTCTTCTTCTTATATAAGTTGTATCTCGATGACCATTATCATTATGAGAGTAAATAATAATTCTTCCATCATACACTCTCATCATTCTAATATGGTATCAGAGCAGGTTGCTCAAACGTTTTGATCTAACAATCAAACTTTTCTTTTTTTTTAAGCTATTAAGCTTCTTTGATTTTGTTATTTATCAAACCTAGTGTTTCTCTATTCAAGTTCATCATGAACCTCTGAATCTAAGCCATTGTGCTTCTTATTCAAGTTTTCTTCTCATTTCTTCATCTCTTTTCTATTCTCTATTTCTGTCTTCTTCTTCTTTCTACTTAAAAAAAAGAAAAAAAAGTTTTCTTCATTTTTCTGAATTTTCATGTCATCGACACTTCTTCACAAATTTGCTCATCGATTCATTATTAAAAAAAAAAAAATATGATAACTCATCCCATCTCTTTACCCTTCATTCTCATTTTCTTCTTAAAAAAAAATTAAGAAAAAAAAAGGAAAAAAAAAGTATTCTTCTTCCCCAACAATAGGTCTTGAACTCACCATCTCTCATCGTCCCCAACGGCACCACCATCTCTTGCCGTCATGTCTCACCCCACTCCATCTTTATACTCGTCATGGTCGCGCATGTCAAAGCCCACCGAATGTGAAACACAAAGAACAAAGATGCTTTGAATAATGAGATCCATTCTATTGCCAATCTCAAGCCGTTAATTTTGCATCTCTCCATAACCGCCTTGAGCTTGAGGGGGCGTATAGAAGGATCTAGATGATCATGATATTATTAGTAAATATATTGTATTAACTATTGAGATATGTATATATCTAGTTTAGGAAATATGGTTTAATGTTTATATTCTCTTCTTCTTATATAAGTTGTATCTCGATTACCATTATTATCATTATGAGAGTAATTAATAATTCTTCCATCATACACTCTCACCATTCTAATAGGATATCCGTCAGATACTTCCGACGGAAAATCGTGGTTGAAAATCCGTCGCCAATTTCCGACGACTAAGTGACGATTTACCGAAAAATAACGAGTCGTCGGAAAGCTTTCGTGAATCTGTCGGTAATTTCCGACGAATTAAGGTGGTTGAAATCTCGTTGGAAATTACCCATGCCTTTCCGACGGATTCTCGATAGATACTCTATTTAGCCCTAGTCAACTTTTATTGCCTTTAAACTCAAACAGATTTCCTGACAGATTTCCGACGGATTGTCTTTATTTTAATCCGATCAGCTACTCTTTTATTTCTTCCCACAGCTAAATTAAACTCAAACAGAACAGAAAACAGCATCTCAAAAACCTTCGATCTGTAATGTCTTTTTCAGATTTTCGATCATGGATAGATCAACCTCACCTAATTCCTACAACCAGATTATTGACGGAGGAGTATAAAAAAGGGGTGCAACAGTTCATGGATTTGGCGACTTCGCAGCCAAAAGCCAAACAATATGGTAAAATATATTGCCCTTGTATGAATTGTGAGAATCGTAGATACCTCACAATAACTGAAGTCTCATCACTTCTAGTTTGTCTAACTTTAACGTTTAAGACCTTGGTGTTTTGTTGAAATGAAAAAGATGATGTAGTTTCATTTGCATTTAGATTTCAATATTATTTTCGTGAGTTTTTGATATTTTATTTTTTTTACTCAATAAAAAACCTGTCGGAAATTGGTTGGGTCATTATTAGTTTTCGTCGTTAATCTGTCGGATATTCGTCGGATAATTATCCGCTTTCGTCGTTAATCCGTGGAAAATTTATGACAGCTTTCCAACGGGTTTCTGATCACAATATTTCCGATGGAATTATGATAGTTTGCCGACCACAGTATACATCGGTGAATAGTCGGACTTTCGTCGGAAATATTTCCGAGGAAAGATAATCTGTCGTTAATCAATCGGAAACCCTAATCGATAATCCGTTGGAAATGCGTCGGAAATAACCGACGACATGAGCCGTCGAATATTTCCGACGAATGTGTGACTAATGGAAATTTTCCGACGAGCTGTAACCAACGGCATCAATTTGTCAGAAATCCGTCGGAAACGTCCATTACTGACGGATATCCGACAAATGTGGTCGTCGAAAATGGCCTTTTGTCTTGTAGTGTGAAAATCAATGCCTTGGGGAAAAGCTTCATAGTTCTCTCAAGCTTCTCTTCAATGGATTGGTCACCTTTAAGCTCCGAATCTTTTGGTGTAAAGATTCTTATCTTGTGAAAGAGATTAGGTGCACCATTAGTCTCCTCTTCAGCTCCATATTCGTCAAAGGTTGGAAGTAAGATGGAGTTGATATCCTTAAAGACATTTTCATGCCTCGGCTCCAATGTTTTCTTCTTCTCCTTTGGTTTTGGGTAGCGCTCACTCTCTCTTCTTTCTCCATGCAGCATAGCTTCTTTCTTAGGCATGAGAGTGGCTTCTTCTGGTGGTAGCTTGGTCGCACTTGGCACTGACCTGAAATTTACACTTGGGAAAAAGATATCTTGCCGGATGTGGCCAAAAGATAGATGATTCCCAAAGTAGTTTAGGACCGCTCCAGCTGTAGCAAGGAATGGGGTTCCAAGAATCAGTTGATTCCTCTTTGAGCCTTCCCAAATCATGACTTGAAAGTCAGTTGGGACCGATCGACCCCTATTTCCATCATGACATCTTCAAGCATTCCATAGGGTTCCATGCACGATAGATCCGCGAACTCGACTCTTATCTTGGGGCTCTTGAATTCCTTGAATCCCAAATCTTTTGCAAGTGCAAGAGACATTAGATTAACATTAGCACCAGTATCACATAGGCAATCATGGAGTTGAATGCCATTGATACTTGAAGTTATCACAAACTTCCCCGGATCTTCTTGTTTTTGTAGTGGCTTGCCTTCAAGTCTTCTCTTGTAAGCTCTTCTTGATTCCCAACTGTATCTCTCCGGTTTGTGCCTCTCCTTAGGCTCATTTTCTTCTTCTTCCCCTTGAGATAGTGTAGGAACAATTGTGCCATCTATAGATGAGACAACACTACAAAATTTTTGAGTGTTTACCTCATTTTGTTTCTTGGCCGCCTCGGCTGTTTGAGCGATTTGCACCTCAAGCTTTTGAACGTGAGTAGAGAGAGACCCAAACTTGCTGCTTAGATCACCAAACATGTGATCAAGCTTCTCATATAGGTTCTTGGTGATCAATCTCTGCTCCTCCATGTATTTCTTCAACGCCACGTCAACCTTCTCTCCGGTTTGGGTTGGATTTGTTTCTTGAGAAAAAGTGAATGGTTGCTTCACTTGGTACATCCCTCTTGGATAGACTTGTTGTGGCTTGGATTGGTATTGGCCTCCTTGATACGCTCCTTGATTGGGGTAGACTTGGTCATTTGGATTCTCCACATTGTTGCTCCGGTATGATAGGTTTGGATGCGCGCGAAATGGTGGATTGAATCCTCTATTCCCATAGTTTCCTCCAATGTAGTTGACTTCCTCTAGATTCTCTTCAGTGGCCATCTCTCATGAAATCCATAAGAGTGTCTTCATTTGTGGCTAGGGCATCTTCAATGGCGTGAACTCCTTGTCGGCTTTTAAGTAGTTGTGAGACCATGTTCCTTAGCTCCGAGATTTGAGCTGATTCTGATGAGCTCGTGGTCTTCACGCTTCTATTGTAGTCAGGGCATGCATTGGCATCACTAGCAGCGAGATTCTCAATCAAAAGCTTTGCCTCCGGCACCGACTTGGTCATGAAAGTTACCATTGCTCGCGGTATCGAGAGAAAGCTTGTATTTATGATCAATCCCATTGTAAAAGATGTTCCAAAGGTTACCTTCTGAAAAGCCATGGTTAGGGCAGCTTCTTGTGTACTCCTTGAATCTCTCCAAAGCTTCATAGAATGACTCCATTGAATCTTGCTTGAAACCAGAAATCTTGCTCCTTATAGAGTTGGATCTTTGCTTAGTGTAGAATTGGTTCAAGAAAGCTCCCTTGTATTCATTCCATGTTGTAATGGACTGAGGTGGTAAAGATTTTACCCATCTTAGCGCCTTGTCACTTAGAGAAAAAGTGAATAGCTTGCACTTGAAGTAATCCGGCGATACTCCATTAACACGAGTTGTGCTACATATCTCCTCAAAGGTGTCGACGTGATCAAGAGGATGCTCAGTGGGCAAACCATGGAATTGGTTTTGCTTCACCAAGGCAATGATCTGCGGTTTGATCTCAAAATCGTTCCTTGGAGGTAGAGGCGGTCGGATTGGATTCCGATCCATAAAGAAAGCATCGGAACGAATCAAAGTCTCCCATAGTTTGGTGCCTTGGATGCTGCGCGTTTGGCACTCTCCTTGGAGGTGCGTGAGGTTGGTCTTGAGGCATCCCTTGGTGTCACCGTGATGATGATGGTGTTGATATATCTCTATTTTACATGCTTTTTATACTGTTTTAGTATTGTTTTCTAATGGTTTTTGGCAGGTTTTCTATCTAAAAAGGTAATTTTATTGGATTTATAGTACTTAGAGTCTAAACAGGTGAAATGATGCATTTTGGAGCAAAACCATAGAATTGGCGCTTCAAGCAGCTCCATACCCAAGCATCAACTTTGAAAGAGTCCAGAAAAAGATCTATTCAATGGATTTCATCAAGACCAGTTCCCCGCGTGCTCTGAGTGAGTTAACTCTCCAACGCAATTGGATTGGCATCATTTGGATGAGTAGAAGTGAAGATATGATCAAATTAGTGAAGACTGGTCCAGACGGCCTTATCGAGCATTTGCATCCTAAGCCGCGCACACCGGCCGATCGTGGAACGAACGTACCGCGATCGTCCCGCGCACATATCCGCATCTCGTCAAGTCCACGGCCGAGCTCACGTCCCGACCCGGAAAGCAACGCCCTACGGTCGAGCCGTTCCTTACCTCGCCACCACAAGCCGTGCACGACTGCGCCGCGCGAACATGAAGGCAACAGCTGCGCGGCACAACCCGTGAACCGCGGCCGACCCATCCGCGCGAACAGGAGGGCATCATCCCGCGACCGGTCAAGATTCATCGGCCAAAACTTATCCATCCGTCTGACCCCGTCGGCCGAACACGAAAACTATCGGCCACGATCGTTCCGACCGTGCCGATAGCCGACTACGACCCGATAACCGGCCGACCGTCTCGACCGACCGTTGATGTACTTGCATTTTACATAGTTTTAGCACATCTTTTATGCATCTTTTGCATAGTTTTAGCTTCCATTTGCATCATATCTTGTTCCTTTTCTCTTCTTATGCATTCATGTTAGTTTTAGGTTGCATTTGCATACATATGCATGTTTGGTCCTTTGAAATAGGTCTTTTGGAGCATTCTGGAGCATATGGGACATAGGAGCATGGAGGGACTTGGCACATGGAAGCAGCTCAACTGGATACGCAAAGGAAGAAGGGAGAAGCCATCTTGAAGACCAGCTCGACCGTCTACTCGACCAACCGGTCGAGTTCCTCAACTCGACCGGCCAAGCTTCAACTCGATCGAGCTGAGAAGTCAACAGTCAAACCCGAAAAATGTTGCTTCCCCCTTGACTTTCCTTTGACCCTAAACCTAATCCTCTTGTATTTAAAGGCTCTAAGCCACGAAAAAACCACCAAGCTTTAGATTATTTTGTTTTAGTTTCTTTTAATTTATTGTCTTTTACTTTTTAGAGATCTAATCCCATCTTTGTGTTCTTGAAGCTCTTGCTTCTTGAATCTAGATCCTGGATAATCTCTTTGTATTTGCACTTGCTTATTTCAATAAAAGTTGTTTAATTTCATCTCCTCTTTCTTATGATGTCTCTTTTATTGCATTTGCTTGTGTTTACATTCATGTGTAGTGAGTAGTTACCCATTAGGGTTTGAGATGGGATAGATTAGAGGTTTCATATGCTTAATCCTTCTAGCTTATGGTCTTAATCTAGATTCTCTCTCTTTTGGATAGATCTTAAGGCTACATGACCACTACCCCTGGCTTGTAAGTCCTTAGGCGACTCCCCACACGAAGTGATGGCATTCGCTGGAAAAGATCCACTAAGAGCTCCAATATCTCTTGCTCTAGACAATAGAGGTCTAAGGGGTTGGATGGATTAGTTTGGGCAATGATCCTATAGCCTCCAAGGTTTGATTCTCACTGGCTAACCCCCTGTTTCTGAGATCATTCCTTGGTTGATAGCCTCCACCTTGGGAAAGGGTTGGCTAGGCATTGAGAAGCCCAATATCAAGAGAAGCCTTGATACAAGGAGTTTTAAGAGCTAGATTGATTAAGTGTAGATTCCTTTGATTGCAAAACCCTGTCTTGAACCCTAATTCTCTCTTTATCTTGTTAAAGTCGTCACCTTTAGCTTTGTTTGTCTCAACTCGTCCCTAAACTCGATCGAGCTGGTACTTTGCTCTGACTCGACTCGAGTCTTGGTCGAGCTGACACTTCACTGCTTTGTTTACTTTTATTGCACTGCTTTTCATTTTTTTAGGTTGTTAGTGTTACTTCAAATCTTACTGCTTGCTTGACTTTCCTGGTTGTTTCATATTCTCAAGAGTGACAAGTTTCCCATTTTGGATTGATAACCTCTTATACTTCAATGACTATGATGGTTAAGAGGAATTGATTGATTGTGATTGCACCATACCATTCATCTTTATTCACCCCTGTTTGCATTCCACCTCATATCTTATCATCCTTCATTCATATTTCACATCCACACAAAATCCTATCATCAATTTGGCGCCGTTGCCGATTTGGGAATATTTTTGTTGCATTTGAGTTTCAAACACACTTGGACGATCAAGCTATACCACCCCTGTTCTATTGTACTGCTGGGTTTTTGTCTCTTTTTGCAGGTGTATGCGAACTCGATCGAGTCGGTCTACAGAGGACTTGGTCGAGCTAGACTTACAACGGGTAGAAAGAGGGTTCAGAGGTCACAGAGGGTACAAGAGGAACCTGAGGTGCTTGTTGCTGATACAATGGATGTACCAGAGGGGAATGTGATAATATGATTTTACGTGGATGAAGTGAATGAAGGATGATATGAAATGAGGTGGAATGCAAACAGGGGTGAATAAGATGAGATGGTATGGTGCAATCACAATCAATCAATTCCTCTTAACCATCATAGTCATTGAAGTATAAGAGGTTATCAATCCATAAGGGTGAGATGTTGCTCTATGAGAATATGCAAACACAAGAAAGTCAAGCCAAATGATTAAAAGGAGGGATGTAACAACTAAACAACCTAATATAACGGAAATGCAATGCAAAGTAAAAGAAAGCAGCTAAATGCAAGAAATTAACAAGAACAAGCAGATGCAAGGGAGCTCGACCAAGAGCTCGATCGAGTTGATGAGCTCGACCAAGAGCTCGATCGAGTTGATGAGCTCGATCGAGTTGAGGGTCGAGTTGGTGTAAAAACAGAGGAAATGCAATGAAAAGCGATAAAGGTGCAAACTTTAAGATGCTAATGCGAAGATTAGGGTTAAAGACAGGGTTTTGCAGCTAAAGGGAGGCTATACTTAATCAGTCTTGCTCTTAAACAACTTGTATCAAGGTATCTCTTGATATTGAGCTTCTCAATGCCTAGCTAACCCTTTCCCAAGGTGAAAGCTATCAACCAAGACTTGATCTCAGAAACAGGGGGTTAGCCAGTGAGAATCAAGCCTTGGAGGCCATAGGATCATTGCTCAAACTAATCCATCCAACCCCTATGAACTCCATTTCGAGAGCAAGAGTTATTGGAGCTCTTAGTGGACCTTTTCCAACGATTTCCATCACTTCCATGTGGAGAATCGCCTATGGACATACAAGCCAGGGATAGTGGTCATGTAGCCTTAAGGTTTGTCCAAAAGAGAGAGATTTCTAGATTAAGAACATAAGCAAGAAGGATTAAGCATAAACAACCTCTAACCTATCCCATCTTAAGCCCTAAAGGGAACTACTCACTACACATGATGAAATAAACAACCAAATGCAATGAATGAGACATCAAAAGATAGAGGAGATGATATAAACAACTTTTATTGAAATAGAGAAGTGCAAAATACAATAATAAAGCCTAGATCTAGGTTCAATGAGCAAGAGCTCAAGAACACAAAGAGAGGCTAAAAAGTAAAAAGGGAAATGCAAATACAAGATTAAATAAAAGTTGAGCAAAAGCTATGTTTAATTCGTGGCTCAATGCCATTTATAGTAAAGCAAACTAGGTTTAGGGTCAAAGGGGAGTCAAAGGGAAGCAACATTTTTCGGGTTTGACTTTGACTCCTGGAAAAGCAGCTCGATCGAGTTGGAAACTGGCCGGTCGAGCTGGTGGGTCGAGTCCAACCAATATCGTCGTATCTTCTGAACCGCTGGTCCGAATGACATGAAACCACCTCCAGACGAAAGCTAACTCAATTATCCACAACTTCCAAGAAGAAGTCAGAGGCTGAATCGGAGTGGAAACCCTTCATTTGATACGATACTTCGGACGCATCTCACTAGCTCGACCGAGTGCGGGTCCGTACATGGGGCAGACAGAGTCTTTCCTTCCTCAACTAGTCTCCAGTGATAGGCAATGTTCCAATTAGCTCCAAATGACCTGATTAAGACATCAAACGTGCACATGTATGCAAATGCAAGCCTAAAACTACTATGTATGCAAAAGAAGGGAAAACATCAAGAAATGATGCTTTGGGTGAATGAAACTATGCAAAAGATGCATAAAAGAAGGGCTAAAACCATGTAAAATGCAAGTACATCAACACCCCCAAACTTGACCTTTGCTTGCCCTCAAGCAAACAAATAGAACAAGAAAGGGATGAGGTTTGAAAACAAGTTGATTCAACCTTTAAAAACATGTCCTCAAAAGCGATTTGCTAAATGTCCAACTTAGAGATTCTAGAATGCAACAAGGTGAGAGATATTCATTAAGATCTTAACCATGCTTATCAACATCAATCCCACTTCACAGTCACTCAAACAATGCATTCAAATCAGCAAATCCCTTTAACATTCATTAAGCAAAAACGTGAACCAAAAACATGCAAGATCAATCAACTCATTTGGTTTCAAGGGTTATGGGTTAAGAGACAAAGAGGGTCTCTTTTGAGTGTATGGTGGTTTAGTAACAGGGATCTCTCAAGAAAGTGGCTTTGCTTTGGCAGAAGGCTAAGTGTTAGAACCAAAGATGGTGCAAGGACAGCAACTCGAGCCGCCTAATCCTAACTCGATCGAGTTCAACACTTAGAGCTTTTTAGAACAAAATCCTAACTACCCTTTTTGGCATTTCGCCTTTGAAACTGAGGAGCTTTGCTCACTTTTCTTTTAAGAACATCCTAGGGAGAGGCTTCTTGAGGTAACATCTAGCGGTTTGGGATTTTCTAAACACTTAGGGAACTTTTCTTCCTTTTTGACACTTGAGGCTTTGCCTTCTTTTCTTTCTACTTAGAACCCTTTTCACTTTCTTTTTTAACTTCCCAAACCTTTACTAGACCCTTTTTTTAACACTGCCAACTCCCTGGACTTAACTAAACTCTTTTTCCTTTGGATTTTCCCAACTTTTACCACTTTTCTGGTTTTTACCCCAACTCGATCGAGCTCGAGTTGGCACCCCCAAACTTAGCCTGAAAACAATCCCAAGAGAACTAGACAACTAGAACTACTGCCCCTGCCGGTTTAAACACAACACCTTATGCTAAGCAAAGCCAAGAAAGGTTCTCACAATTCGCACAAGAGATAATATGGGGTTTGAAATGAAAAAGGCTTAGGTTTAAGGTGTGGTAACTGTCTCAAAGATGGAGATCAGCTATCTGGACAAGCAAGAGGGATATGAAATAGGTAAAGAATGTCCAGATATGTATGTGGTAGCCATGAGTTGAAATCAAATGCAAGCATTGGTAATTAAAGATCAAGTTATGGTTCAAATAGATAGGGAAATGCATCAAATCACAGCAATGGTTGAATGATGTGCATGCAGTGATAAACATGGTTCTTGCTGCTCAATCAATCTCACCCTAATGCACAAAAGAATCTAGAAATAGGGCACTCAATAAATCGCAAATGATGAACAAGTTTTCAAGATCAAATCAATGCAAACAAATGAAAGATGCAATCCTAAACAATCTAACAAATATGAATGCAAAAAGATGAAAATATTTTTGGATTTTTGAAAATTTTATGATTTTTTGTGTTTTTCTATGCAAATAGATGAATGAAAAACTAAGAACAGATAAACAAGGTTAAATCATCTCTTGAACCCTCCCCCAAACTTAAATCACACAGTCCCTTGTGTGAAAGAAGTCAAAGAAAGATTCAAGAGGGAAAAACAAAGAAAAATGCATGAAAATGAGATGGTATGTACAAGGGAAGAAACGTTTGATACCTTAGTGCTCCCCAAAGAACTGGAGAAGCAAGGTCATGAGTTGGAGAGGGCAGGAGACAATAGCATCATAACGGCATCAATCGCCAAAATAGGTTGGTGGGATTGGCTCGATCGAGTTGTGCTCGAGTCAGAATACTTCCCTTTTGAACTAACTCCTGCAAGACTTAGACAGAAACAACTACAAAGAACTTAAATGAAAGCATTATATACAAGATAGACATGGGAATTCCTCCCAAGTGAGCTTGTTTTAGGTCGCATAGCTTGACCTTTTACCTTTTAGGCATGAATGAGAGCGGTCCCGCCATCAAATGTGACAGG